TCTAAACATTCTGGTTTATTCTTTGTCAGGGCTCGTGGAACGGGTGCCAAGACCTGTGGTGCAGCAGAGAGTGGATCTCAGTCAGCACCTGCTTCCAGGCTGGCTGGAGTCTAGACCCTCAGGTAGCAGCAAACCGACATATCCTGTGGGACTGCGGGGCACCTGCCGACTTCCAGACCCACCCGAGTGTGGGCTTTCTCCTGGGCAATAGTTGCAAAAGTGCAGGCTCAGCAAGTGTTTGAGTCTTTTCTGGGAGGCCCTGGTGCTGTGGCAGGTCCCGGGGAGAGCGCACAGTTGGCTCCCCGGCCCATGTTCTGTGAGGAACCCTTCCGTAGCCCGGGACAGTCTTCCCCGCAAGCCTGCCGCTCAGGCTGAAGCTGAGGACGAGTAAATAGCCCTTTTCCAAAGGAAGACCTGGCTGTTTCAGTCTGCTGTCTGTGCTTGGGGTGTGTGTGTGTGTGTGTGTGTGTGTGTGTGTGTGTGTGTGTGTGATAGTTTGCCAAGAACTGTCGCTAATTGTTTCAGATCCTTGGGGCCCAGAAGCACAGTTCATCCTGGCTACAAGAGCCGGGTGCCTGGGGGTGTCCCTTGTATAGGCTACGTGGAGCCACTTAAATTTCGTTGGGACTATAGGAGTGGTGTGGTGCCAGGTGTGCCCACTGGCGTTAGAGACAGAGTGCAAAAATGGTGCCCACCAACACTATATATAAAGGTGGAGGAAGAATGCAAATACGCCTCTTGCCAGTGCCTTTTCTCCCCTAATTGTCTCCTGAACAAGCCTCGACCTGGGCCTGGAATTGAGCCTGCAACCCAGGTGCCCTTGACTGGAATTGAGCCTGGGACCCTTCGTTCTGCGGCTGATGCTCTAACCACTGAGCCAAACCAACTTGGGTCGCACAAGCCTTTTAGGAGTGAATCTCTGTTACATTCCTATGGCTCTCGTGGACGCAAATCCTGTTCTGTTTCAAAGCCAAATGTTCTGGGGGCTCATGTCTCCCAGGCAGAGTCCAAGGGTTGGGGTGCTTGATGTGGGGCACAAACCCACACTCCTTGGGGAGCAGCTCGGTATTTGTGAGCTCTCTCCTGGCCATGGGTCCCTACGCCTGGGTGGGTGTTTTAGGGAGTCTAGTATTTTGTTTCTGCTACCCGGCTCGATGCGGCCCTTTTATCCTTGTCCTGAATGACCTGCTCAGCTAGTTTTCAGAGCAAATTGTTCCATGTGTAGCTACTGTTTGTCATGTTCCGTGTGTAGCTGGGCGGAGGAGGTAAGTTCAGATCTTCCTACACAGACTTCTTGAATGCTTTTCAAACTGGAAGGAGCAGCACAGTGTGAATATAATCGTAAGGAATTTACCAGTAACTTATGCATCTTGGGCAGTCAGAATTACCTTTAAAATAGGTGCAAAGGTTAAGAATTTGCCTGGTTATGCTAAAAAGGTTCTGTTCTTCAGGTTGGAAAGTCCGGTGACAGATGAGCGTGAGTTAATGCTTTGGTTAGAAAGTCAAGAGCAAACCTGACTTAGTGGTGGAAACCAGTGGAGCTCGGTCTGGTTGTATTTTTCCTGGCTCTGCTCTAGGGATGGTCAGGCCAGTCTCAGCACCCGCAGGTAGGACTGTATCTGGAAATAATGTTGTCTTGGTGTGCTTGCTACGTTGAGTAAAGTAGCCCCCAAGAAATATTTTTGAAAGGTCATGATTGTATTTTTTCAGGGAAAGAAAAGGTACAGTGCTTTTCCGGAAGTACAAGTACATGGCTAATGTGGACTTTTCTCTTCCTTATTTTGACTACACGCTGCCTTAAAAATTCCACCTTCATACTGATATGTGGGCTTCAGGGCGCAAAATCTACCCCTTGTGGGTTCTTGCCCTACAAAGTTTGAAGAATAAATTCGCAAACTAAAATGCTTCTTTAGTAAAAAATGTGGCAGTTTATTGGGAACATATACAAACTTTGCTTGGGCAGGGTTCAGGGGAGGGGTCCCCCAAAACTTGCTCACTCTCTCTTATGGGGGAAAAAGCATCCATCCTTTTTGAGCCTCTTTGTCTCTGGGTTGATAAAGGCTGCAGCTCTTTGTCTCTTCAGGACCCTTTCTCGTTGGACCCTTCTTTAATATATGACCTGTGTGCTTTCTTAATCGGCCATTCTTATGCAGAGTATCAGCTTCAAAGTCCGGAGCCCCTGTGGTGCCCCCTTTCCTCTCCCTCTCACCTTGCAACATTCCTCTCTCCTCTGAATGTTTGCTTCCTCTGTAACATTTCTCGTCCTCTGCAAAAGTGAGATAAGCATTCTGGCGTCTTTGAGCTATCTCCTCCCATCACTCATGGATTCCTCTCCCGGACCCTCCTTTTCCCTAAAACTGCCTTTCTGTCTCTCAAATTCCTTTCAATATCCTTAAATATTCTTTGAATAGATAGCAAATAATGATACTTTGAACTCTAAGAAAAACTTCTTTACTGGCTATCTCATTAAATAATAAGGTTGGAGTCTGAAATGGCATAAAGTAGTTACTAAAGAATTAATTTGGGGATGTAAGAAAGTGTTTATTATTTAATTCATGCTTCATTCTGTTGGTGGGATTTGTAACTCAGGATTGGGTCTGGAGTGGAGGACATGAGAAAACAAGGGGAATTGTGGCAGGTGTGAGGGCTGCACACAAGCATTGCTGAGGTTTACGTTGCTGCCCTACACTTGTGTGACTGAGGAAGTATCTGCAGTGACGAAGTGTCACTTCCCAGCGAAGGCGGCTGTTGGCTCCCCGCCTTCCAGCATGAGTGCTCTGGCTGCAGTGGAGCTTGCCCTGGTCCCACAGCAGCGCACTCACTATGGCGAGGTGTGCTAAAGACAACTGCTCTCCTCTTGTGGTGATCATGTCATGGCGTATAGAAATATCCAGCTATGTGTTGTACACCTGAAACTGATAGAGTATTGTATGTCCACTGTAATTGGGAAATAAGAAAGGAAAAAGATGGCCCCTGCCTGTGAGAGCAGGAAGTGCTAAGATGCACAGAACTAACCAGGGTAAGACTGAGTTTCTCACCATTCCCTCACACCTTCCCACCGGCCTGCCTCTGTTTTTGTAGCCTCAAGGGGCACTGACCTTTTGAGAATCTGAAAGCTCCTAATAGGAGAATTGTCTGGATTGAAAGGAAAGCTCTCTGCTCCCCCTCCAACTCAATGGTTCTTCCAGTGAGGAACACTTGCTTCAAGGCCTCTTTCCAGCCACCTGTCATATTCTGTTCTCTTCGCATGCTGATGCATTCGGTATCCCAGCTGAGATGTGGAGGGCATGAAGACAGTGCCCCTGGCCCAGCAACTCTCCAATTAAGATGGTAACAACAAAGCCTATTTCTTGGAATTTTTAAAAATAATTTTGTTAGGGTTTGGCTGGTGGTGAGGACTATGAAAGAATTCACAACTAAAAGAAGAGATGCAGAGAGGAAGTTTATTTTACTTTCCCTGAAGGGGAAGGCCCAAGTATTGCTAATCAACACAGGGCAAGAAACAAGAGTGGCTTCCCCTTTTAGTCCTTGGATGTTGTTAAGTGACAAGGAAGGGAGGAGGATTTTGGGTGAAGTTGAGTTTCTTTGTCTTTCAGGAGACAGTCCAGACAGATGCCCTGCCCCCCCCAATAAAACATGCTTAGAACAAAAGTTATGACAAGTTCAAAAAGAGCTTGTTCAAAGGGGAGGGAGGGGAAGAGGGAACTTTCTGTTACCTAGAGACTGCTTGGTAAGAATTATCCTTTAGTTAAAAAGAGGGGTATGCAAGAATGTAACCTTGAGAGTAGCTTATCTTGTCTTGCAGTTTGAACAGAGGAACTAACAACGTTGGGGTTTAATTACAGGTGCTTCTCATAAATTGTGGAAGGCCAAAGCAAACAAAAAGAAAGGCCTTTTTTAAGAAAGCTATTTCAAATCTGTACTTAGCAGCTCCCATTTGACATCTTATATATGATTTATGCAATCCTGCTCCTGAAATATCAGTGTGGGTCAGGACCCGGGGCAAGAGGCATTCTATCTAATAAAAGAGTAATATGCAAATTACATCACACCAAGACACAAGATGGCCTCCCCCATGTGGTCAAAGATGGCTTCCCCCATGTGGACACAAGATGGCCACCACAAGATGGCTGCCACAAGATGGCTTGCAGGGGAAGGCAGTGGTGCGAAGTTAGGGAGGACCAGGCATGCAGGGGAGGGCAGTTGGGAGGGACCCAGGCCTGCAGAGGAGGGGAGTTGTGGGGGACCAAGCCAGCAGGGAAGGGCAGTTGGTTGGGGGCCAGGCCTGCAGGGAAGACAGTTAGGAGCTAGCAGTTCTGGATTGTGAGAGGGATGTCACAGAGGGATTGGGCCTAAACAGGTGGTTGGACATCCCTCAAGAGGTCCCATATTGGAGAAGGTGCAGGCTGGGCTGAGGGACACCCCTCCTTGCACGAATTTTGTGCACCAGGCCTCTAGTTGAAAGATAAGAGGAGACTAAGTAGGTTCCAAAGAGACTGTGAGACAGAAAGTGCTGATGCCTAGTAGTTTTTCCCAGAGGCACGATTTGGGAAGGGGGTGCTGGAATTGTGAACCTGCCTAGATCAGGAAAATCAGCTTTGAGGTCTTTTTTCACTCCCCCGAGGCTCCTCTCCCACACTGGGCCTACTTTATGCAGCTGCTTTCTTGCTTCCAGACCTGGTACAGCATTGTGACGATATGCCACCTTCTTCCTTTAGTGTTTAGCTTTGGCTGCTGGTAGTCTACACATTCTTTAATTTTCCCTTCTAAGAATAGAATCTCAAGGCATACCTTTCACTTGATTTGAAACCAGGAGCAGATTAGCTATTTCTTGAATTCAAATTAGCCACTGATTGTTTGGTTCCTGCCCCACTAGTTGGAGTAGCAAGAGAAGAATAAAAGTAGTAACAGTACTAAAATCTGATCTTTGCTTTGATGATAGGCAGAGAAAATACTCATGTGAGATGTTTGATTTTCTTTAATCTCTTTGTATTATACAGCTTCACCCAGAAATACCCACCAGTAAAATTTTTATCTGAAAAGGATCGTAAAAGAATTTTGGTAAGTTTGCATATCTGATTAATATTCATAATATTAAATAATTTGCTTTCTAAATTAAGTTTTAATTCGCACACCATAAAATTCACCCTTATAGAATATACAGTTCAGTGGTTTACCATACACAGAGTATATTCACAAAGCTGCATACAACACCATGTTCTAATTCTAGAATATTTTTATCATGCCAAAAAGAAATTTCTCCCATGCTCATTAGCAGTCATTTTCCATACTTCTTCTTTCCCCCTTCCCCACCAACTCCTGGCAATCACTAAAATCATTTCCTGTCTTTATGGCTGTTCCTGATTTGGACATTTCATATTAACAGAATGATGGAATATGTGGTCTTTAGTGTCTAATTTCTTAGACTTAGAATAATTTTCCAAGGTTTATCCATGCTGTAGCATGATTAAGTACTTTATTCCTGAACAATATCCCACTGTATGAATGTACTATATTTTGTTTATCTATTTATCAGTTGATGGCATTTGGGGTTTCTGCTTTGAATAATGCTTCTTTGTACATAATGTCTACAAAGAAGCATTAAACCTATGTCTACAAGTATTGGTGAGGACATAGGTTTTTAAAATCTTTTATGGTTCACAGACCACATTAAGGGAAGAGAGAGAAAAAAACATTGTTGTAAAAGAGATACATTGATTGGTTGCTGCCTGCATGTGCCCTGACCAGGGAGCTGGGAGCGAAGTCAAACCCAGGTTCATGGTCTTGACTGGGAATTGAGCCCCGAGATCCTTCAGTGTGAATGCTGGTGCTATGACTATTGAACAATACCAGCCAGGGCTCTTCAAGCAGCCACACTAATAAAAGAAATATGCAAATTGACCATAACTGCACGGTGCCAATTAGGAGTGAGTATGCAAATTAACCCATCAAAGATGGCTGGTCAATTTGCATACGCAGGCTCAAAGTGGCTTGGCAGAGCTAGACACCTACTATGAGGGGGAGGGCGGGAGGTGGAGGGAGCTACAGGAGTGGTGCCCCATCGGGAGTGAGGACTTGCAGGCTCCTGGGCGGCTGGGAGTGAAACCAGGGGAAGAAAGGCCTATTCTTGCACGAATCTTTGTGCAACGGGCCTCTAGTCTATCTAATAATAGGGTAATATGCAAGTTGGTTGGGACACTCTCATAGTCATGATCTATCATCAGGCTGTGTGCGCAGCAGGCGAGAGTGGGTGGGGAATTGCAGGGCCAGGGGTGGGGATTTGCAACATTCGGGATGCGATGGTGGCTGCCGCTTGCCCAGAGCCGGCCTGGGACTCGGGCAAGCCGCTGATGGCAGCTGCTGCTGCTGCAAGGGCCCAAGGCTCAAGCAATGAGTGCTGGGTGAGGCTCAAACAGCCGCAGTGGCTGTGAAGGCCGAGGCTCAGGCAGCCTTGTGGCTGGTAGTGGCAGCAGCAGAGGTGTGATGGGGACGATGCCTTTCCCTGATCAGCCAGTCATCACTGGCAGAGGGAGGCCAGAAAGCCTTCAGGAGGACATCCCTTGAGAAGGACTGTGAGAAGGGGCAGGCTGGGCTGAGGGACCCCCTCCTCCCCAGTTCACGAATTTTGTGCACCGGACCTCTAGTATTTGTGATGGTTGTTTTGAGGAACTTTGTTAAGTTCATCGTCCGGTTCTTACAGAGGCAGTGTTTGTTGGCTGAGTGTTTTTCTGTACAGGTCACGGATGTTTTCCTGTTTCTTTGCAGATTGCATACTTTGTGTAAAATTGGACATTTTATGTAGTATACTCTAGCAGGTCTGGATACTGTTCTCCTCTCCCTGGGAGATGAGTTTTAATTTTGTTTGGTTCTGTTTGTTCAGAGACTTGGCTGGTCTGTGTTAGTGACATCTGTGTCCCCTGAATTGTGAAGCTCCATGGATGCTCCTTAGCGAGCACAGACGTGGGCATGGACACACTCACCCTGGATGACAGTGGTTCTAGCAGAGTTCTTACTAGTACTGACCATCTCGTTCCCCGATGTCGCTGTTAAGCCATCTGCCTTATGTGGTGTCACACCAATTGTTAGGCCCCAGTAACTGCCAGCTGAGTGAACTGTTCTTTCAACAGTGCTTTGGTTATAATTTCTCCTCGTCTGGCCCCTTTGCAGAGGTGGATTTTTGAGGCCAGTTTTGAGGTTTGCTCTGGCCCCAGGAGTGCTTAGATGTCTCTTCCTCTGGATGTTCCTATTGAACTTCCTGGCTTGTGGTTTAGCTTGTCCTCATAGCGCTACCAGCCTCCTTTGTATTGCTTACCACCCCATCTCCACTGTTTTGAACTCCCTATACTCTCTTTTACGCTGAGTTGATTTTGGGGGGCAACTCTGGAGCTCTCTTTGTGTATTGACTGCCCCTGCCCTTGGGGAGACCTCAGCCACTGCTCTGGAGCTGGTAGGGAATAACACTGCTCTTTACAGGCTGGGAGCTGGGCAGGAGCAGAGGCCCCATCTTCTCAACTGGCCTCTCTCAGCTTGGAATCTCCACCTATGAGCAAACAGGGACAAGGTGACCAGTCTCATTGGTCACAGCCTGCCGAGCCTGGGGTGGAGCTGTGTTCCATGAGTGGGATCTGGCTGGAGGAAGGGAGCTCTTTGCCACCTGGCTCGCCTGCCAGGAATTTAGCTTCTGGCTCGCAGCTGGTGGGGATGAGAGGTGCTGGTGGCTGCCTTCCTGGTGAGAGTCCGTCTTTTGACTGAGAGCTCCTTTTATTTTGGCCACGCCCTCCACTCTCCCATTGTGAACTGTGGGTGTGGGAGGTTGAAGGGGAAAGCGAGCCATGGCGTAAGTGTCACAGACTCTTATTGAATTTTAATACATTTTCTTGCATAAATGTTTCTTCATTTGTTGTATACTCTTGTGACAATTTCTAGAGACTTTAAATGGTGGTGGTGGTTGTTTTCAAATCCTTATCCGAGGATATGTTTATTGACTTTTTTAGAGAAAGAAAGTGCGGGAGAAAGAAAAATCAATGTGAGAGAGAAACATTGATTGGTTGATTGCCTCTCCTATGTGCCCCAACTAGAGAATAAACCCACAGCTAGTGAAGTACCTTGACTGGGACTCAAACCCATGACCTTTTGGTGCGTGGAATAGTGCTTCAATCAAATGAGCTAGGTTTGTTTATTTGTGTGTCATATTTATTGATTTCAGAGAAGAAGGGAGAGGGAGAGAGATATAGAAACATCATTGTTGTGAGAGAATCAATTGACTGCCTTCTGCACACCCCACAATGGAGATGGAGTCAGCAACTCAGGCATGTGCCCTTGACCGGAATCGAACCTGGGACCCTTCAGTCTGCAGGCCGATGCTCCATCTGATAGCCAAACCAGCTAAGGCTGGTTTGTTTGTTTTTAATTAATTTTCACCAGTTATGGTTGTTCTGCTGGGGAACAGGTCTACAGAACACCTCACACTACCATTCTGGAAAAATGTCTTATTTGTGACCTTGATATATAAAGGGTTAGTACACAAGGTTGTTTCTTGTTTTTCTACCCATCTTCTAGATTGTAGGAGTATGTACCCCAAACACCAAAGTCATACTTCTGAGTCAATATTAAATCCGTTTTCCCCACATAAATAGTTACAGAAGGTCTCTTGCCTTTAGATGGCTTCATAAATCTCACCCTGAGCAGATCTAAAGTCTATTCTACTTGTACACCCATTATCACATTAAAAATGTTTATGTATTTAAGTTTGGATTAAGGACTGTCTTCAGCTGCAGAGGAAAGATAATTCTGTTCTTTTTGTGTCACTGTGATCAGAAAGTATGGTGCTCTGCACTAATTTATGATCCTGCACCATCTTCAAGGGTTATTACTACGATTTCCTTGTGGGATGCTCTGGCTGGCAATGCTGAGAATTACTGATTTATTTCACTCTACACATAACCACAATAAGTGGACTCGGGGTTTTTCATTCATCTGCCACCTCATAGGTTGTCACTTTGGTGCCGAGTCTGGCTTACTGTGGGAAATTTAAAAGCCTTGTCAGTAATTGTTGAAGCCTCAGAACAAAGATAGGGTTTTGTTTTGGAAAGTTTTTGCTGGTTTACCAAGCAGCATGGCTTTGAATGCTGACCTTGAACTAGGTCACTTTAGTTGCCAGTTAATTACGCAAGAGCAATAGCTACAAGCACATATAGATGAGCTCATAGACTGCAGAGCGATGCCAAGCTGTGTAAGAGGTCTCCATCTCTTCTTCCACTGTCTCCTGTCGATTAGATTAGCTCCTTGTTATTCAGGCGTACGCCTGGGCTTGGTGATCAGTCTTCCTGAGCGAGCTTCCTAAGTGCTACGCTTCCGCCAGCTTTGGTTCTATTTTAAATGCTTGCTTAATGGGCTGGAGTTCATTAGGAAAGCCATTATACCCATCCAGCTATGTTACATAAATCTTTTAGTATTTCAGATAGAAAGGCATTGTTCAAGAAAAACAGCTCAAGTCCATCTTAAACGACACTAAGGTGCTTCTGGCAGCTTTATGTTCTTCCTAAAACTAGGGAAGTGTTGGAGGTTATCGTGTATAATTTAACACACGGTCTGCATTCTGAGATAGAAGCAGCATGGCACAGAACATCTTTGCACATAGACATCGTTACAGTAGAAGAGGTTACTAATCCTTTAAAAAGGTATAATTTTTCTCACTAAAAGCTATGGAAAACATGATAAATGCAATCAAATAAAAGTAAAGTAAAATGAGTTCTCACCTAGTGGTGAACCAATTTGAATTTTATTTTTTCAGAAAATTCTCTGTTCAAATCCATACAGCAGACTATAGGAGCGCTAAAGCTAAAATATAAATTGTACAGATAGACAGATAGTGGGAGAACATGGAATTAAGACTGTGGACTTATATATCACCAGAGGCCCGGTGCACAAAATTAGTGCATGGATGTGTGTGGGGTGTCCCTTAACCCGGGCTGCACCCTTTCGCAATCTGGGACTGCTAGCTCCTAACTGCTTGCCTGCCTGATCGCCCCTAAGCACTCTGCCTACCTGCCTGATAGTCCTAACCCTTCTGCCTGCCTTCCTGATCAACATTAACCACTTGCCCGCCTGCCTGATCACCTCTAACCCTTCTGCCTGCCTGATCACTCTTAACCACCTGCTCGCCTGCCTGCCTGATTGCCCCTAACTGCCTCTGCCTCGCCCCACTGTGGCAGCTTTGTCCAGAAGATTGTTTAGCTGTCTGGGCAAATTAGCATATCACGATTTTATTATTATAGATTAGTAGTGATCGTGGATCTTGGTGAAAATCTTAGTTCCTCTGGATCCACCTCTAAACAGAGGGATTTAGAAAATGGTGTTCTAAGTAAAACATGAATGTAGCTGATAAAAGCTGTTGGAGTATCAGGATTTTCTAACCCTTCATACTCTAATCCATATTTGTGTTTCCATCAGAGCACATGTCAATACCTAACCAGTGGTTGACACACTGTTCTTATGGCAGGCAGTACCCCAGCTGCTGCCCTAAATCTATCTTTTCCACCCAGAACAGCCAATTCTTATCTGTGATAAACCTGGACATGTGTCATATTTTATTTAAATAGGACTTCATGGCAAATTAACTGTTCTAAAAGTATAGACCTAGGTCTTTTAGTACTTTTTATTTTAAGTAAAAATAATGCTTTTTTTCCCCCGACTGTACATTTTTTCGCTTTGGAAAAAGGGCATGAGATGGATGCAAGTTTTAATGGAGAGAAGGAAGAGTGGGAAAGTGGGAAAGAGAAGGGTCTATCATACGTCTGTTTTCGAGTATATTTTTTTCACTGCCATCTCCCAGAAATGAAATATGCTTTGTCTAGCCCTTTAGTTACACCACTTCATTTGAATAAAGTCTTTTTATTAGTTAAAAATTTTAAAATTAACTTTTCCACTGTTATGGCGTAAGTTTTAGAACAGTTGTTGCTGCTCTCCCGTCCCCTCAGGCCCTCACAGCTGCACCGTTTCTCTGTTTGCCTTCCTGCTCAGACAGTGCCCGCCAGGGGAGCTTGGGAGTTTAGAGCTTTGGTCTGCAAGCAGCATCTATTGTTCATTAATTGGTTTTTAAGAACGATTTGAAAGATACAAATTTCTCATGGGGTTCTTGAGTGCATTTTAAATATCACTTTTTTTTTTTTCTAGTTCCCCAGATCTCTGCATTTTGCTAATCACTCAAAAAAAAAAAAAAGTAATTCTAAAACTTGGCAGGAGTCATATTAGAACTATATAAGTGATGGTTTCAGCATCCCATTCATTATAAAACATGGAACTTTTTTGTGTTTTTTAAATCGAGATATATTTGACATACAACACTGTAAATTTAAGGTGTACAACATATTGACTTCACACATTTATATTGTGTTATGGCTGTCATTGTAGCATTAATGTACACCTCTATCTTGTCACAGTGTTGTCACTTCTTCTAGTGCTGGGAACAAATTAAGATCTGGTCTCTTGCTAGCTTAGTGTTTATATGACGGTTCTGTTGTTTATAATCCCAGGGCTTATTACCTAGTAGTTGCCAGTTTGTACCCTAAACCACATCTCCGTCCTCCCCTCCCTGGTAGCCACCATTGTGCTTTGGCCTTGGCGTTGCCAGCAGAGTAAAAGCAGTGCTGGTCTTCCTCTCCTGGCTCACTCAGCAGGCCGCCCTCCAGGCGTGCCCATGGCGCCGCAGCCAGGGCTTCCCTTCCCTTGGGGCTGGACATTCTGTACATCACCCGCCAGGGAATCTTTTTGTGTTCCTCCGCCCACTGAAACTTAGGTCTATGTCTGTCTGCAACAATGCTTCAACAAGAACCTTTTAAGAATGTAACATTTTCTGTCAAAGATGACATTTTGAAACTTGTAACTACTACTTTTCTGACTTCCTTACTGAGTGGCAGTTGCAGTTTTCACTGTTTGCGAGCTGCCCCATGGTGTGCCCTCTTGCCCTGGAGTGAGCAGTAAGGTCGCTGCTCTAAATAAAGCCTTTGCCACCTTCCTTCCTCCCTTCAGCCTGAGGACGTCCTCAGTTGTGGCTGCCCCAGAAATATGTCTTCTTGAAGTTGATTGTTCCCATTCTCTTGTGCTTTCTCTGGTTTGTCTTGCCCACTGCAGATAACTGGAGGAGCAGGCTTCGTGGGCTCCCATCTCACCGACAAGCTCATGATGGACGGCCATGAAGTGACCGTGGTGGACAACTTCTTCACGGGCAGGAAGAGAAACGTGGAGCACTGGATCGGCCACGAGAACTTCGAGCTGATCAACCACGATGTGGTGGAGCCCCTCTACATTGAAGGTGAGTGCCACCGTGCCCTGTATCATCAGAGCCTGGCGGGTGAGCTGTCCATCTCTTCCCCACCCAGTTTGTGTTGCGTTTTGTGCTTGATTGGTCGTCTCATGCACAAGACACCAGTCTAGTTCCTGTGATAAAGAATGGTTATGATGGAGTGAGTGTCTGACTTCACTTTTACATAGTCCTCCTGGTTTTGAATTTTTGGGGCTTGTGTCATACACATCTGTCTAACAGATCTGATGCCTACCCACCCATGAGAACTTACCTCTAGCTTTCTATGGGAAGGTAGCTGAATTCATAATGAAATTTCACATATAAAAGTCTAAAGCTGACTGATAATTTGGACAATTCTAGGAATTATGGTGTGAGAGCTATAGTGGGTTGGATGGTGATTCCCTCTCCTTCACATCTCTTATTATTATTATTTTTTAATCCTCACCCAAGGATATGTTCTTATTGATTCTTAGAGAGAGAAGGAGGGAGAGAGAGAGAAAAAAACAAACAAACATAGATATGAGAGAGAAACATTGATTTGTTGCTTCTAGCACTCTCCCTGACCAGGAGTCAAATCTGCAACCTTTTTGGTGAAAGTAGGTTAATAATAATAATAGTAAATAAGACAATAAATAATAATACAAGAATAATTATTTTTGCGAGCTCACAACTGTAAACCTACTTTTGTTCACCCCTGAATTTGGAAAAAGAATCATGCTATGGCCTGCCCGAAGTTCCAGGGTTGTTTAGCAACTGAGCCAGAATACAGCCTTAGGTTGACTCCAAAGCTTGTAAGCATATGCTCCTTCTCCTGCATGCATAGTGTAGCCTTCTGCTTTTTCCATATCAAATCCAGAGCATTTTTCCATGTTGGTAGAATGTATCTTGAGCCATTTTAATTGTTTAACAGTGTTATTATATGACTGTGCCATGGTTTATTTGTAATTGTATTATTATTTAAATTTCTCCAGGATTTTATTATAAATATGTGTTTGGATTTTATTTCTTCAATAAAGAATCTATATACGAACTATGCCAAATACTAATGTCTTTTTTGTCATTTGGTAGTGTTCATTTCACTAATATATTAATAACAGTGAGCATTATTTAAAAAAAAATATTAACAAAAATAATTTGATAGAAAAATCCATGGCTTGATGTATATTATTTTGGTTACTAAAAAGATTAGACTTTCTTCCATGTTAATTCATATAAAAAATTTAAATCTCTTGAATTTTAAAAAAATTTTGCTTTTAGTTTGACACTGTCTTTTACTAGAGATTGATTGACATAGCAGATCTACCTAAAACATAGTCACAAACCCAAGCAGGCACCCAAAAATGAAAGAACAAGAGAATTTTCCTAAAGAAAGTATAAATGAAATGGAGATAAGAAATTTATATTTTATAGTCAGAATAATAATGATAAAGATGCTCAACAGCATGAGAGGAGATATAGTAACTATGAAAACAGAAATATAGAATGACTTAGCACAAATAAAGTACATATTGGAAGAAATACACAGCAGATTAGGAGAAGCTGAGGATTGGATCAGTGAATTGGAAGACAGGGTAGAAAAATCACTCAAATCCAAGAACAAAAAACAACACACACACACACACACACACACACACACACACACACAAACACACACACGAGGACCACTTAAGGGAGCCTTGGGACAACATGGAACATAACAATAGGCGAATAGCAGGTGTTCTAGAAGAGGCAGGAAGGGAGGAAAGGATAGAGAATGTGCTTGAAGAAATAATGGCAGAAAACGTCCCTAACCTGGTGAAGAAAAGAGTCACACAAGTTCAGGAGGCACAGAGAACCCCAAACAAGAAGATCCCAAAACAGACCCGTACCTAGACATATCACAATTAAAATGCCAAATATTAAAGATAAAGAGAGAATCTTAAAGGCAACAAGAGGAAAGCAAACTATTACCTGCAAACAAGCTCTCGTAAACCTGTCATCTGATTTGTCATCAGAAATTCTACAGGCCAGAAGGAAATAGCCTGAAGTACTAATCCAGCAAAGCTATCAATCAAAATAGACTTTGAAATAAAGAGCTTCCCAGACAAAAAGAAAAAGGCTAAAGGAGTTCATCACCACCAAGCCAGCATTATAAGAAATGCTGAAGAGACTGCTGTAATCAGAAGGAGAGAGAGAAGCCTAGCCATACAGAATTAAAATGGCAATAAATAAGTACCTATCAATAATCTTAAATGTATATGGATTGAATGCTCCAATAAAAAGGCATAGGGTAGCTGAATGGTTATGAAAACATGATCCAACTATATGCTGTCTACAAGAGACTCACCTCAGAACAAAAGACATACACAGGATGAGAGTGAGGGATGGGGGAAAAAATTTTCCATGCAAATGGAAAACAAAAAAGCTGGAGTAGCAGTACTCATATTCAACAAAATAGATTTCAAAATGAAGGCCGTCACAAGAGATAGCATAGGTCACTACATAATACTAAAGGGATCGATACTCTGGTAAACACATATGCACCCAACATTGGAGCCACTAAATATATTTTAAAACTTCTAGAGGACTTTGAGGGAGAGTTTGACAACAATACAATCATAGTAGGGGACTTTAACATCCTGCTGACTTCACTGGATAGATCTTACAAAGAATTAACAAGGAAACAGTGACTCTAAAGGACATACTTGACCAGATGGATTTCATTGACATTCATAGGACATTTCACTCCAAAGCTGCAGAATATACATTCTTCAGTGCACAGGGGTCATTCACGAAAATAGACTTCATGTTAGGACACAAAACAAGTATCTACAGGTTCAAGAAGATGGAAATCATGTCAAGCATTTTCTTAGATCATAGAGGAATGAAATTAGAAATCAACTAGAGTAAAAACACCCAAAAACATTCAAACACATGGAGGCTAAATACCCTGTTTCCCCGAAAATAAGACAGTGTCTTATATTAATTTTTTCTCCCAAAGTTGCGCTAAGTCTTATTTTCAGGGGATGTCTTATCTTTCCATGCGCTAGGTCTTATTTTTGGAGGATGTCTTATTTTCAGGGAAATACAGTAGCATGTTTTTAAACAATGAATTAAAAAATACTTCCTGGAAACAATTGAAAATGAACACACAACAACCCCAAATCTCTGGGACACAGCAAAAGCAGTCCTGAGAGGGAAGTTCATAGACCTACCTCAAAAAACAAGAAAAAGTAATAATAAATAATTTAATCCTACAACTTAAAAAACTAGAAAGAGAACAACAAGAAAAGCCCATAGTAAATAGAAGGAAGGAAATAATAAAGATTAGAACAGAAGTTAATGGCATAGACACTAAAAAAAAAAAAAAAAAAAAAAAAAAAAAAAAAAAATTATACCAAAAAAAAAAATCAATTAAACAAAGAGCTGGTTCTTTGAAAGGATAAACAAAATTGATAAGCCATTAGCCAAACTCATCAAGAAACAAAAAGAGAGGACCCAAATAAATAAAATCGGAAATGAAAGTGGAAAAATACCCACTGACACCACAAAAATACAAAGGGTTATAAGAAAATACGATGAACAACTATATGCCAATAAGCTGGACAGTGTAGATGAAATGGAAAAATTCAAAGAAAAATACAATATGTTACAAGATCTGTATATTGCACCATATGCCCACCACCCCAAGTCAAAATGAGTTACCATATATTAGGTCCCCCATCCCCCCCTCCCACTTCCCTCTGGTCACCACCACAGTGCTGTTTGTGTTCATAAATTTCAGTTTTATATTCTACATATGAGGGAAATCATATGGTTCTTAGGTTTTTCTGATTGACCTTTTCACTTAACATAGTGTTCTCAAGGTCCATTCATGTTGCAAATGGCACTATTTTGTCCTTTCTTATGGCTGAGTAGTATTTCATTGTGTATAGGTACCACATCTTTTTTATCTAGTCATCTATTGCGGGACATATTGTTTGTTCCCATGTCTTGACATCGTGAATAATGTTGCAGTGAACATATATGTGTATATACTTTGCAAGTACATGATTTCGAGGTTTTCGGGTATGTACTTAGGAGTGGGATTGCTGGGTCATATGGTGGCTCTATTCTTCATTTCTTTTGAGGAATTGCCAGACTGCTTTCCATAGTGCTTTACCAAGCTACATTCCCACCAGCAGTGAGTGAGGGTTCCCTTTTCCCCACAACTTGTCTGACACTTGTTATTGCTTGTCTTGTTGATAATGGCTGCTCTAACAGGTGTGAGGTGGTATCTCATTGTAGTTTTGATTTGCATTTCCCTGATTGCCAGTGAGGTTGAACATCTTTTCATATATTTATTGGCTGTTCGTATGTCTTCTTGGGAGAGGTGTATTTTCAGGTCCTCTGTTCACCTTTTGATTGGGTTGTTTGGTGTTGAGTTTTACCAGTTCTTTGTATATTTTGAAAATTAAACCTTTGTTGGAGCTACTGTTTGCAAACATCATCCCCCAGTTGATGGCTGCTTATTTGTTTTGTTGTCTGTTTACTTTGCTGTGCAAAAGCTTTTTAGTTTGATATAGTCCCATTTATTTGTTTTTAAAAAGCCTTTACTTCACTTGCCTTTGGGGTTAAGTTTATAAAATGTTCTCTATGACCCATAGCCGTAAGTTTGGTATTTGTATTTTTTTTTATGCAACAATTTTTTGGGTCTTATATTTAAGTCTCTGATCCATAAAATGTAATTCAGTTTCATTCATTTGCATGTGGCTTTTCAATTTTCCCAGCTCCATTTATTGAAGAGATTATCTTTACTCCAATGTGTATTTCTGGCACCTTTGTCAAAATTTATCTGCCCATATACATATGGTTTTGTAGGTGGGCTCTCTATGCTGTTTCATTGATCTGTGTGTCTGTTTCTCTGCCAATACCAGGCTGTTTTAATGATTGCAGCTCTGTAGCATAATTGGAAGTCAGGGAGTGTGATATCTCCAGCTTTGTTCTGTTTTCTCAGCATGCTTTGGCCTGGAGGGAGGGCTTTCCTCCTATGGACTTGTTCATCTCTCTGCTTTCACAGGAATCCTATTCCCAAGGGCCTCTCTGCTGTGTCACTGTTTGTTACTGACCGGAGAGCGAGGCTTTGGGGATGTTGAAGTGACGCCTGTGCATGAGGAGGTGGGGGGTCGGACTTGCTGAGTCATTTGTAGCTTTGAAACTCCTCCTGTGGACTGGATGCTTAGGAGCAACCTGAAGCTTGTTTTCTTACAAATGTTTGAACCTTTGCTTTTATGCCAGGTTTGTTTTACCAATTAAAAATGTTTACTGAGAATCAGCAGTTTTCCACTGTGTGCCACACAGGTGTTTAAAACATGCGATACCTGACCATTTAGTCTGAGCACTGACCTCTTCTCCCTGAGATTGTCGAATAAATGGCAGCAGCCAGCCAATGGTAGGCATTCCATGTGAATGAGTCTAAATTTCTTTTGTCAGGTTGGCAGAATAATACACTTTTTGGTGTGCTGCAGACTTTTAGTAATTTCTGTGTACCCATGGGATGGAAAAAGGTTGAAAATCGCTGCTTCAGATATTTGTGCTTAATTCTGGGTCTGAAAACTCTAATTTGACTGCTTTACTGGGGCAGGTCTTCCCAGCAAACAGTCAGCTCGGCACTCGGACTGACCCTGATTAGAGGAGAAACGTCCAAATAATTGGCCAACCACATGTTTTCATTCCAGATAATTAGGTTTCAGTCTTTATTTAAAGTTCGTCTAATGGCAAATTAGTTTCTATGGAGAATAAAATAACTAAAATTTTAGTAAAGTTACACAAACACCTTTATTAATCAGTGTCTACTCAGACATTCAGATTTTTTTAGTGTTTTCCTTGGAAATGACAGACTTCGGTTTTGTCTCCTGTAGTTGACCAGATATACCATCTGGCCTCTCCAGCCTCTCCCCCGAACTACATGTACAACCCCATCAAGACGCTGAAGACAAACACGATCGGGACGTTAAACATGCTGGGTGAGTCGCCCGTTCCTTGTTTGGCAGCTGCTGTTGGGGGTACGGTAGCCAGCCCACGGGTAGGTCTTGGTGCTGTGGAGTGAGACACCCTCTCTCAGCGCCGCGTGGGCTTTCACTGAGACCTCATTGGGCATCAGAATCGGTCATGGGGAGATGGTCATTGCAGTAGCTAACCAGTCTGTTGTCCCAGTTCAGTCCCTGGGGAGTACCGCCTGTGCCTCTGTGAGGACCCAGCCCCCCTCCGCTGTCCCCTCTGACTCGCGGCGTGGTGCCTCCCACTGGAAAGGCCCTGGCGGCTCTGCTCCGATTGGGTTGGAGAGGATGACACACACACACACACACACACACACACACACAGCACACACCCCCCCCTCCATAGACACACACACACACACACACAGCACACACCCCCCCCTCCATAGACACACACACACACACACAGCACACACCCCCCCCTCCATAGACACACACACACACACACACCCCCTCCATAGACACACACACACACACACACACCCTCCATAGACACACACACACACACACAGCACACACCCCCCCTCCATAGACACACACACACACACACACACACACCCTCCATAGACACACACACACACACACACACCCCTCCATAGACACACGCACACACACACACACACCCTCCATAGACACACACACACACACACACAGCACACACCCCCCCCTCCATAGACACACACACACACACACAGCACACACACCCCCTCCATAGACACACGCACACACACACACACACCCTCCATAGACACACACACACACCCTCCATAGACACACACACACACACACAGCACACACCCCCCCTCCATAGACACACGCACACACACACACACACCCTCCATAGACACACACACACACACACAGCACACACCCCCCCTCCATAGACACACGCACACACACACACACACACCCTCCATAGACACACACACACACACACCCTCCATAGACACACACACACACACACACACACACAGCACACACCCCTCCATAGACACACACACACACACACACACACACACACCCTCCATAGACACACACACACACACACACACACCCTCCATAGACACACACACACACACACACACACACACACCCTCCATAAATACACACACAGCACACACACAGCACACACATCCTCCTCCATAGACATACACAGACACCACACCACACACACACACACACACACACACACACACACCTGTCCTTACGGGGTTGTGGAAACCTAGTCCTGGCTCCAGACAGAACCGCAGGGCTCACTGAGAGGAGCGAGATGAGAGGGAGCCGTTAAAGGGCCGCATGAGTGTGTGTGCACACGACGTGGGTGATGTGCACACATCCACGCTTGAGATGGGAGGCATGGGCTAGCTTGGCACAGATGCCCAATACACTAGGGGTTTTGATTAGTTACAAGGGGGAAGAAAGGAACCGCTTTTTTAAATGCCAAGTAAAAAGATGTAGTTATAGAGCGTGAAGCAGGTTTATAAATGGATTTGGGAAGCTAGCTCTCGGTTTGAATTTGACTGAAGCCTCAGACCAGGGTCTGAAGAGGCGGCTGGAGCTTGGTTTCATGATGAGTTCTGTGGGAGGTGAAAGGGCATTTGTCCTCTGTGTTGTGCCCTGTGTGTGGCAGGCTGCCCCTCCTTCATGCCAGAGCCAGACCCACAGAGAAAAGCCACCGAGCACAGGATGCCTGGGAGCCCTCATTGAGCTGTGCAGTCAGGTGCCACGGGCACTGTCCTGGCCATGTGGAGGGCGTCCAGAGAAGGACTGCTCTGGCTCTTTGCCAGGGAACTTGGCTTCTCGGGCGAGAATGTATGGGCACAGGCATCAGTGATTCCCAGGAGGGAGGGAAAGGTCTCAAAAAAGAGGCATCTGTGCGAGTTCAAGGTCAGGTGACTCCTGGGCTGGGGCCTGCACCTGCGTGAGGTTGGGCCTGGAGGTCTTGAAGGAATGGCAGAGGGTTTCCAGGAATGACATGGACAGAAGCTGGAGAGGGACAAAGGCCGGAAAGAGACCCAAATGGGACTTGGAATTCCGAACCGAGAGGAGCTGTTGCTAGCCATTCTGCATTTGAAGCAGGATGCCCCGCACGCCGCCTGGCTTTTCCGGGTAGTGACCTTCTGCGCTTCGCCGCCTCCCTGCTCCCGTGCTGGGCGCCTTCCTGATGCAGCCTCTTTGCCAGCCTCTGCAGAGGCCCCGGGCCTGCCGCAGCGCCGCCCTGGTCTCCTGGCTGCGGCCCGAGGCCCAGAGGCCCTGCACGGAGGAGCTGGCACGGAGGAGGCAGCCTGTCTGAGTGTGCCATGGTGGTGCCCTGGTGGTGGTACTGAACTGTAGTTTTGCAAGTTTTTACCAGTGAGGGAAACTAGATTAGGAAAGGGTACATGGGATCTCTGTATTCTTTCAACTTAAAAGTTTAAAGAAGAGACCTCGGATCCTTCACGGTGAAGCAACTACCGTTGCCTCTGTGCCATGTCGTGTGGCCCGCCTCTCGGCTCTGCGGGGTGAACTGGAGTGAAGGAGATGGGGCCCAGTGTTGGGAGCCTACGACTTCCAGATCACACTACATCCCGACCATTCCTTCCTCAACCACAGGGGGTGTTTGCACAGGTTATCTCAGGTCCTTACCTCCCAGCAGCTCTGTCTGCTTGTTCTCCAAGCACGTCCTCATGGCCCCCAGCGGCTGCACACCCAGGACCCTTCCCTTCCTCTGTCTGCCCGGCCTCTCCAGAGTGGCTGCAGGCTCTGTGCTCTCCCGACCTCTCCTTGCAGCCCTTCCTGTGCCCGGGTGCGGGGTGCTGGGTGCTGGGTGCTGAGCCCATCTGCACAGGGCTCTGTGTGGAGGACAGTTGGGCAGTGCTGGGTTAAGTGAGGGGCCATGGAGCTCTCTGTACCTCCTGCACATCGGGACACCGATGCTGCACTTTGCGTGATCACCACAGATAGAGCTGTTCTCGTCCATCTGCATGTCGGAGCGAATGTAGGGAAAGTTCAGAGCAGGGGCAGGATGTGGGGAGTTGCTTTGGGGAAGTTGGTGCTGTTTAAGCCAAACCCAGAAGGAGGCGGGAGGACGGGGTGGAGGTGTCCTCAGACTGGGGTGGTTCAGTGCAGGCGAAGGTGCTGGGAGCGTGCAGAGGGAGTGCCAGGTGGAGCATTGGGGGCAGCAGTGGAAGGAAGTAGGAGTGCGAAGGGCCTGATGCCAAACAGGGTGGAGCTGCCTCACTGAATAGTGGAGGATATGTTGGGGCAAAGAATCTTTGTGAAACTCTTCAAATCGCATGTTATCACACCAACAGGTCCCAAGTTTGATCTGCTTACTTTATAGGTATCTCACTACATACTGGGCTCCTCAGGGTTCACTTGTGCTTTTCGTCCTGTTTTTATTGGTTTGAAAGAATATAAGAATGGATATCTGAGGATGCGTGGATGTCAGATGCCATGAATACTGAAAGATTGCTGAAATTGGCGACCACACTGTGCATGCGTGTCTTTTCCCGTTTCCCTGAAGTGACAGTTGCTCTGTGTCCCTGCTTCCCCTAGGGCTGGCGAAGCGAGTCGGAGCGCGCCTGCTCCTGGCCTCCACCTCGGAGGTGTACGGAGGTAAGCAGGGGGTGGGGCTGGGTGGGAAGGGGCTTCTCTGGGACAGTTCGCACCCTGTCTTAGGTGAGGAAGGAATCAGAGGTGGGCCCAGAACTCCATTTCTAAGGAGGCAGCATTGTTTGACTCCAGTGCACAGCAGCCAAGAGGCTCCTGGCCTGCGATGTCGCTGCCATTGTGGTCTCAGCTCCGCCTCCTTCCCACTGAAGCTCGCCCTCCGGGCCAGATCACGGCTCCCTGGCGCAGAGGACTGCCCGTCACGGTTCCACAAAGTGGTTTTTGCATTCTGCTCCCAGAGCACCCCAGGAATAGATCCGTTGGGGATTCTTTGCCAGTCTAGCCGGTGCACGGTATTCTTCGGTGTAAGCAGCGGGTGTCATGAGCGACCGTGAGACTGCGGATTGGCCTTGAAGAGTGCTTGGCGAAGGGACTTGTGCTGGTGCCTCGTGTTGCATAATCATTTCTGGAAGAATCTACCAGAACACTCAAAGGCCTTTCCTGCCAACCTGCAGCACTTCCCCGCCCTCCGCGAGGAGTGGGGCGAGGGCTGACGTGCCAGGTTCGGTTACCTGGATGAACACTCGGTTCCCGTGGCAGAGGAGCCGGCCGTGGCTGTGGTGGAACCTATCCACCTCACGTACCGTTTCAGACAGAAATGCGAGTGGGAGGGCAACATGGAAGAGGCGAGTTTCTACCACCGGAAATCAATGGGAGAGTGAGAAACGGAATCCCACTCCATGTAGTCATGTTCTTTGTAATCCCTTGGAAGGCAGAGCACCGTCCACTTTTCTGAAGTCCTCTGGGGTTAAAAGGGCGGGACTGCCCCCATTCCCTCCCCTGTTGGCCCAGTTGCTTAGCGATGGGTGGGTGAGTGGACCTGGAATCCTCCCTCCTGTTCTGTCCATGTCAAGACTCTGCAGGGATCAGCAAGTTCCCCACGCGCACCGATGGTCCCTCTCTCCTCGCAGGGGCTTCACGTGTCCCCTAAGGAGTGGCGTTGACAAGTCCTCGGCCTGTGCCTTTAAGTGCCTCAGATACAGTGGGGCCTGAGTTCTCTGTCCAGAGGGCCCGTGACATCTCTCCACACCCACCGTCGTTCTCCTTCCGCCTCATTTGTTATCTGAGCATCGGCAGCAGCTCCTGGTCTTCAGGGTCGTAAATAACGTCAGGCTGCACTCCCGCCCGCCTGGTGCTCTGCTCTGATGTCTCATGACCGCACAAACGCACCGACAGCCGGCACACTGCGGGCGGGAGCCTGGCCAGGAAGCATGTGACTGGCCATTACCTTTTGTAACTTCAATGTGATCATGTGAGGGACCTTTGTAAAGCTGTGCCATGGACGGCAGTCATTTCAGGGGTGATGGGTGTGCCCAGCCTTCTCCTCACGGTTGGCCAAATTTCAGACTGTCTCCTTTGGAGTCTAGCTGGCCAGTCCTTGTGAAGAATCCCCAGGAGAGGTCTGATGGGGACCATCCACCACATCTGTGTGAATGACGTCACTGGGTTTTTCTCTGGGCGTGTTTGCTTTAGACTTTTCTCTCGGCGGGCAGTAAAAGCGTGCCTCTTCTCAGGGGAGGGTAGAGCTAAGAAGCAGATAGAAGGTGTCACCTGCACTTAGCCTCCGCTGCCTTCTGAACGAGGCAACAGTGCCAGTGGGTGACTGCGGGCAGTGTGTGCCCCGTCCCCTCCCTGTACCCACACACCCAAGTCAGATTCTGTACAAGTTACACAGGGAGTGGATTTACAGCATAGGTTCTGGACTGGTCCACATTGCTTGGCAAAGATTTACACATTGTATACCATGGGTGTACATGGTTGTGTAAAATTCCTGGTGTACTAAATTAGTTACTCATTCACATTCCAAAAATATACTTGTGTTAAAGAATGTTACTGGGTTTTCTTAAGTAGTCATTTCTCTGGTACATCCTAATGTGTGATTGAATTACACACGGGAATTGGGGACTACAAAACGTTTGCCAAAGGAACACGCAGGCGTTTGCTATTGACCTTCCACAGCCCGGGACCAGCCCGTGGGTGTCTCTGAGGTTTCAGTCTGTGCTGGCGATGGCACACGTGACCGTCATCTTCCACGGAGATGCTCTTACATTTTTTTCAATAAATACGTGCTTTGCTTTCATCACATATTTTATAAACAAAATTGAACCATGTATTTCTGCACATAGATTATATTTAATTATAGCCTGACAGATTTAAAAGTTATGGACAATTTATGGGAGAGAGGGGAAGACTAAAATAGAGAGCCTTTGATCTTTTCGTTTTTTCTCTGTAAAATACGGTATTAACATGAGAGGTAAGAACAGCATATCCCACTGGAACTTAGTGGAATGTGGAACACTGATTTCTCGAGATACCGGTCAGATTTACATTTACCACATGTAAAGTTATTTTGGTCTTTCCACAGCTCCCTTTTGCATCATAAATCATCAGTGTTCATCACGGGTATGAACTTGAAACAAGGAGGGGTGAAAACATGGTTTCGTTTCTCCTTCTCATAGACCCTGAAGTTCACCCTCAAAACGAGGAATACTGGGGCCACGTGAACCCGATAGGCCCCCGGGCCTGCTACGATGAAGGCAAACGGGTTGCGGAGACCATGTGCTACGCCTACATGAAGCAGGTACTGGCCACACGTGTGAGCTGGGGGCGGACATGCAGAGCGCCTGCTGCGCTGAATGTGCAGCCCTGAAGGAATGAATGCCATGACTACCTGCAGGGAGGCGCTGGGAAGGGAGCCCAGGCTCCACTTTTAAATAATGGTATTAGCAACAGCTTTCTTCCTTTTAAATGGCGATTTCCAGGGGATGAATTCCTCGCTTTGGAACACGACCGCAAGGCTCGAAACACCATGCTGCTTTTTGCCTACGCGCCATGCCCGCCTGCGGCCTGAAGTCCCTGTTTCCTGCAGCCCTCGAATCAGTGGCTTGTGCTTTTCACCTCTGTTCGCTTTAGGTGTGAAAGTGAGTGCATGGCTGCTGTGGTCCGGACCTCTTTAGGCGCTGTTCTTCACTGTCTCCTGCTTTCCACGTTACTCATTGCTTCCCTGGGGCTGTCCCTGGTGGTTTCGTGCCCCAGATTTGCTCCCACACACGGGAGCAGACAGAGCCCACAGACTGAGGCAGAGGATCTGGTTCCGCCTGGCTCTGATGCCGCCTCGACCTCAGAGGTGTAGCCTGACCTCCTTGGTCACTCGGTGCTCAGCTCTGACATGGGCTCCGTGCGCAGCCTGCCTGCTTCAGGCTGTGCGGGAGCCAGTGAGACCACCAGACAGGCCCAAGGGCCCAGGCAAAAGCCTGACTAGTCCACCCACCGCGATGGCCGTCCTGTTGTGCTTGGACCAGCTCCCTGAGCTCATGGACGTGCCCTTCATTAGAGGGAGGGACATGTGGACGGGACAGGTTTGTGCTCTCTGGGCCTAAAGAGGAGTGGGCTTGTGTCCCTGCAGGCAAAAGGGAATTCAGAGGTCATGGGCTTCGTGGGACGGAGAGGCACCCTGGATGCCTGGTGCTGAGTGTGTGGCTAGGGTGTCCCTGTCTTTGTTGTTGCTGTTTTTAGTGATATGCCAACATTGAAGCCCACAAAATTGCCTTGTGCCAATGAAGGTATTTAGGCCCTTCTTCCCTATTTCTCAGCCAGAAGCAGAATTGGCTCCTTCAGAAAGTTGGCTCAGAGTACCCACATATTTTTAAGAAGCACTAATCAGTTTTAGAAAGGATGTACCATTATCATTTTGGAGCCTAGAATATCTTGATCCCAAAATATAAGATGGTCTCCCAGGTAGATAGCACAACCCATATGCATGGTGGTACTTCAGAAAGGGGACACACAATTGCATCTTACCCCTTGGTAAGTGTGAAGAGGATGTATTTATCACCATTTTCTTTTACTTTCAGTCTTGTATTTATCAGTGACTTTTATATAGGTACAACTGGTGGGCAAGTAGGACAATTTATTGAAATTTCAATTTTTATTAAAGGATTGGTAGTGTAACTTAGTTGATAATTTTGTAAGCATACATATTACTTTCCGGAATGAACTGATGATTATAGTATCCTATATAATAAGAGGAATCTGCTAATTTTCCATTACGCCCTGAGGCTCTAATGACCAACCGTGTAATGACGAGATCACTGATCAGCAGGAGGGTGGGGCAGCGAGCTACAAGTGGGCAGTGGAGAGCTACAGAAGGGGGCAGAGCAGCAAGCTATGAGTGGGTGTCTGGGGCGGAGGGAGCTACAGGAGGGGGGGGACAGTGGGCTGAGAGCTACTGGAGGGCGGCAGCGAACTACTGTGTCATGGATTCATGTGCAGGGCTGCTAGTTTAGCAGTGATACTAAGGCCCAGTGCACGAATTTGTGCATGGATGGGGTCCAGCTGGCCTGCCCCGATGGCGGCCCATTGGGCCTGGCTGGCTGGGGAGAGGGACCACGGGAGGTCAGTTGGCCCCAACCCCGATTAGGGTAGTGGGCCGATCGGAGGCAGAGCCAGCTAGGAGAGGGGCCATGGGAGGTTGGCCAGCCAGCCCCACCCTGATCGGGGTAGGGAGGCCAATCATGGGTGGAGCTGGCCAGGGAGAGAGCCTGTGGGCATAGGCTGGACAGCCCCGCCCCCAGTCGTGGTTGGGGGGCCAATCAGGGTTGGGTCAGCCAGGGGGAGGGGCTGCAAGAGGTTAGGGCGGTCCAATCCGGTACCCGATTGGGCAGGTTGGCTGCCACAGTGTGCGTCATAGCGACCAGTCATCTGGTCATTCTGGCCGCTTGGCTTTTATATATAGAGATAGCCATCATTTGCTGACTGTATGCCAGGAACTGGAATACACCTCTGGGTGCTGGCAGGGCACGCATTTCACGCACGTTAACACCGCCAGCCATGTCATTGGTTGGTGAGCTCCGGTGCGTAGCACCTGTGTCACTCTGGACTGTCAGCATTTACACTTCCACTCACATGGGTCCCGGGAGATGAATGGCACGGGTGCCACTGCCCTGGAAACTGAAGGAAGGAGCCCATCGGAAGCCCCGTGTGGACAGCTGTCTGAGGCCGAGTGCCCTGCTCAGCGGGTCCTTGTGAAGGACGCACTCACGGGAAGATGACTCTGTGGAAGGTGTGACATGTCTCCTCACACAAGAGGCCCCACAGCTGATGGCTGAAAGGACGGAAAAGACACACCGGTGGCCAAGGTCACAGAGTGCCAGCCAAGTGGGCTAATCTCTGATAGGCTCGGCCTGTGTCAAGGCTCAGTCAGTTTATTCTCCCCTCATTCCCACGGCCCCGTTACGGTAGATGTGGGTCCCCCGTTTCACAGATGGAGAGTGGGCCCTAAAGCTTGCGTCCAGCTCCAGGCCTGTGAGCAGAGCCTCACCCTGGCCTGGCAGCCCTCGGGGTGTGTTCCTCCCTTTCCCTGCCAGGCTGGCAGGCCTTCCGGGGTGAGGCAGCTGGGCCAGCAGGAGGGGATGCAGCTCTGGGTCTGAGGGCACCGGTTCCTTTGGTGCACAGAGGGGGAGTGTGACACCCAGGACGGACACCCAGGACGGTCCAGGCCACGCACTGCCCGCAGTCACCACTCTGCAGGGCGGGGAGGCCGTGTGGGAGCTGCAGCAGCTAGCATCGCTTCCCAGCTCATGCTCTGCCTTCCAGGACAGCAGCTTTGAGGAGGAATTCAAAACTGTCCATGGACGAGTGTAACAAAATAACCCGAAAGAAGGATGAATCGGATGGGGTTCTATGTCTTTGGCATATTTTAATTATTTAATAAGATATTTTTAATACATACCCACTTTTGACGTACCCACTTTTTAACTATAAATCATTGTTTTCTCTCCCAGATGGTATGTGGATATATTTTACTCTGAATCAGTATAAGGATTGAGACTATAAAAAAGACAAATACAAGTAGGAATAATCTTTTCCTTTTACAAAGAATTCTCTTCTGAGTCTCTCTTCATGAAATATGCTAATGTATTCAAAATAGAATTTGATTTGCCAGAACAAAAGCCCGGGGCACGTATCCATCTTAGAGCACAGAGAGATGCTCCCTTGGGTTTCTTTCAGGGGATGGGGAGATGGAAGTGAGATCAAGGGCACAGCATCTTTTGCGAATACTTTTAACTTGTCAGAGAGGCACTAAAGGGTGTGGTGGGTCTGTAAATGTGGGGACTTCTCCCTCCGGTGGGTATGGCCAGCTCACTGCCCGCGGAGCCGATGCTGCAGATGTGTGGCCCACCCACTGGGCAGGGTCAGCAAACAGGCCGCCATTCATAGCACCAGACCAGCAGAGCAGAGGCATGAGCACCGATAGTCATCTAGCCCGTGGCTGAGAGAATGGCTTGTTTTACTCTCAGAATACCTAAAAAGTAACATAGTTGGTATGTTCCTTATATTTTAGTTTTTAAAAAGCACTCAGGAAGCAGCTGAAACAAGTCAAGTGTTCTCTTGGTAGCATTCACATCTGCCCAGCCCTACTGTCTGCTGGCTGGGCACCCGCCCTCCGTGCCCGCTGTCCTCCTAGTGTCCCCTCCTGGCCTGGGCGTGAGCTTAGCCTGCTGTGTACAACGCTGGGGCCCCATGGTTACCGCACAACGAAGCAGGGCTGTTGGGGGAGAGTGCCAGGCAGACAGGTGCTGCTGTCCCTGACAGGTGTGGCCTCCCCATGCTGGACACCGAGCGGAATTGCATGCCCTAGAGCAGTGTTTCCCAAACTTCCTCATGATGAGAATCACCCGGTGGAGTTGTTAAACTACAGATTCCTGAGTCCCAACTAAGAAGTGCTAAACTAGAATTTTTGGGACTATATACGTAAAATTGTATACTTAACTAGTGCTCCAAGTTGGGATTCAGGAATCTGTAGTTTAACAATTCCACCAGGCGATTCTCATCATGAGGAAGTTTGGGAAACACTGGCCTAGAGCCTTGCTCGGCAAAGGGAGCTCTGCATTCTGGAAGGGCCTCTTCCTGCCCGCGTGGGGAACAGAGCCCAGCCAGGTGTGGGTGCTTCTCCTCAGGGCTGCGTGGCTCTGTCCTGTTGGGCTGAGGAAGACTCAGGCAGTGTCAGAGCAGGGCCTGCTGGCCCTGGGAGAACTTCCCATTAGTTCTGTCCCGTCCCCACAGGTAGATATGCCCGGGGCCTCTCTCAGGACAGGCAGTCCACACAGTGGAGGGCGGTCCTCTCCTGTGAGTGCCGCTCTCCCTGCACCCTGCTTCTCTGCCCCACCCACACCTTCCGTCAGTGAGGACAGTGACCAATCACACTGCCGGGTTCGGGCCGGAAGCCGGCTTGCCAAGCAATGGCCACAGGGCAACTGTAGAAGGAGAGCCATTTAATCCCTGCTGGTAACGTCTGTCCCTGGAGAGGTGGGGAGGGAGGCAGCCCTGTCCCTCCATTGCACCGCCTGCCTCCCAGCCCTTGCCCCTCCTGTTGTTCCTGAGATACTTCACCTGGGGTTCCCATTGCACCACGATTTAGTGGAATCAAAGAAGGAGGTCAAATTCCAGGGCAAATACCAGGTTTAGGGCTGTCACGTGGAAATAGACAGGAATGATGGCATTTCAAAGCAGATACCTGTGTTTTCTTTAAACTCGGGAGATGGCTATTACTGTCCCATTCCAGAGATCATGATCTGAAATCTGGCATCTCGTGCCTTCCCGGGAATGTGCGGCTGGTGAGGGCCTCCCGGGCTCCCTGTGTGTGCCCCAGGTGGCCCACTGTGCCACAGGTGTGACTCGCTCCTGTGGAGTTGTGCTGGCCCTCGATAAGCGTCTTGAGGCTTGGAGACACCAGTGAGTGAGTGAGTCACCCCCAGCTGGGACAAGGCCATGGGCACGGTGAAACAGCCCCCTGCCCGGCCGTGTGGCACAGGCCCTCCGCCTCGCCAGGTGAAACATGCACCCCATGGGGGTCAGCCGACTCCCTGCCAAGTGCGAGTCAGCAGCTTGTGTTGCTCTCACTGGTCCTTCAGAGGAGGGTCTCCTAAAGAGGCATGCGCCTGGTTGTTTACCCGCTGAAGCAGGCTTTGGGTCGCTGGCCCTCTCCTCAGGTGGGGAGAATTATATTTTCCTCCAGGATGTGGGCGCCACCAGACCACCTCCCTCAGCCGCACGTGGGTGCCTGCTGACTCTCTGCCGTCCCGCAGGGTGCCTCAGGAGGAAGCCCAGGGGCTGCGTATCAGGTGGCGGGTGGGTGCACGCGGCGGCACCCGTGCCTCTGTCCTGACGCTGCATGGGAAGAGCCGGTGCACGAGGGGGGAGCGGGTCTCAAGAGGGGAAGCTGGGTTTGTGCTGATTTGATTTGGGAGGTGAGGCTTAATATGGAGCTAGTCTTGGTGCAAACTGGGCTTGAGAGCCAGAGTTGTTGAAAAATCATGGTGACCTTTCTCTGCAGATGCACCTGTCCCAGGCGTGGTCCTGCGTCACCTAGGTGACGTCCGAATGGGAGCCGCTCCCTATGGAGTGGCCAGAACTCTGCTTTTCAGGAGGCCACGTGCTGGGACAAGCCTGAGGATGGGAGTTTGCTGCAGCCCTTATGAGCCCAGTGACCCTCCTGCCAAGCATGTGGCTCTGCCTGTTGTTCTGGCCTCTTCCTAGAATGAAGCCCATTTCTCCCTTTCTGATGCTTTCCTCGTCTTAGCAATGAAACACAAGTCGAAACTTCTGAGTTATTTTCTGTTGAATTCAACACCTCTGTTCCTGTCTCCTTCCTCCCCCTATATTTTTTTGAAATATTCTCTGATCAGTAGAGAAAGGGGCTGATTTCAAGTTCCTGGACCAAGTATACAGCTCAGTCCTAAGAATCTGAAAGGTCATGTGAAAGGGTTTTAATTATTATGTATTTCTGGGAGGAGTTTGCAGAAATACAGCACATCGGTTCCTAAAAGTTATCCATGTGCCGGGGCCATCATCCCAACCATGTCCTGTCTCAGCACATGTAGAAGCAGCACACCAGGGACGGGGTGAGGCCTGTGGGCAGAGGGGCCAGTGGGTGGGACAGTGATGAGGGCTGTGGGCAGAGGGACAGTGGGTGGGACAGAGGGGAGGGCTGTGGGCAGAGGGGACAGTGGGTGGGACAGAGGGGAGGGCTGTGGGCAGAGGGGCCAGTGGGTGGGACAGAGGGGAGGGCTGTGGGCAGGTGGCCAGTGGGTAGGACAGAGGGGAGGGCTGTGGGCAGAGGGACAGTGGGTGGGATAGAGGGGGGGGATGTGGGCAGAGGGGCCAGTGGGTGGGACAGAGGGGGGGGATGTGGGCAGAGGGGCCAGTGAGTGGGACAGAGGGGAGGGCTGTGGGCAGGTGGCCAGTGGGTGGGACAGAGGGGAGGGCTGTGGGCAGAGGGGACAGTGGGCGGGACAGAGGGGAGGGCTGTGGGCAGGTAGCCAATCGGGGTGGGGTTGGGGCTCCAGCCTCTTTGAGGTCTGATGTGGGCCTTTGGGTCTCTGCAGCCGATTGCTTTTAGCTCATTGTCCTGGGGGGAATTCTGCTGCACAACCTCATTAGCTAAGGGTCTGTTGGCTCCCAGCTTGTGCCAGATTTGAGGTGGTAAAACGAGAGAAGGAAAAAACTATTTTATCCACGAGTGACAATAGCAACACAGAAGTGTCGCTGGGCTTGTGCTGAGGGTAGTACCAGTTTCATTTTGTCCTAGCCCGTAGGCAGGTGCTCTCTTCTCCAGCCTTCCTCTGACAGAGGGTGAGTGGGGATGGGGAAGCCGAGGAGCATGGAGCCCAGTCCTCACACCATGCTGCCTGCCTCGGGCCCCGGAAATGTATGCCTGAAGTCTGGTGAATCCAACCGGTTAGAACACATACGCTGGGAAAGTCCACTAATGCATTCATAATAAAACATCTAATTTTTGTATCTATGAAAACGTCTGTGAAATTCATAAGAAGACATTTAGAGTTTAAAAAATATGCTCTTTTGATTACATACTTAAAAACACACTTTTCCTGCTCCTGCCCGTGTGGATTCGATCCCCAGTCGGGCGTGTACAGAGACAGGCAATGGGTGTTCTCTCTCACATCGATGTTTCTCTCTCCCTTCCTCTCCCTCTCTCCGGTCCCCTTTTTTTATTGTAATAAAGATAGAAGCAAGTTGAAAAGCACACAGAAGAAGAGGAATGTCTGACTCCCATCATGGAAAGAGAGCGTGTTCAACTGTGTTGGCTCATCTTCCTGGCCCTTCAGCCAGTCGTCAGCACGGGGTGGCCTGTTGTCTTTAGTTTTGGGCAGAACAGGTGGGGTGGAGGCAGAAGGTAGCTCTTTTTTTTTTTTTTTTTTTTTTTTTTTTTTTTTTTTTTTTTTTTAGGGAGGAAGGAAGAAAGAGAAAAATATTGATTTGTTGTTCCACTTATTCGTGCAATGAATGATTAATTCTTGTATGTGTCCTGTCGGGATCAAACCCCTAATCTTGGCATGTTGGGAGGATGCTCTGACCAACGGAGCTACCTGGCCAGGGCTATATTCTTTTTTTATTTTTAATAAATTTTTATTGTTCATATTATTACAAATGTTCCTTCCCTCCTCCATTGCTCTCCTCCACCAGGTTCCCACCCCACCCTCTGCCCTTTCCCCACTCCCCATCGTCCTCATCCATAGGTGCACAGTTTATGTTCAGTCTCTTCCCACATCCCCCTCTCCCCTTTTCCCCAAGAATCATCAGTTCACTCCCCTTCCATACCTCTGATTCTATTATATTCACCAGTTAATATTGTTAATCAGATTTTTTTTTAATTTCCTTGGTTTTTAGATTCACTTGTTGATAGTTACGTATTTGTTGTTCATAATTTTTATCTTTATTTACTTTCTCTTCTGAAAGAACCCCCTTCAGCAATTCATATAATTCTGGTTTGGTGGTGATAAACTCCTTTAGCTTTTTTTTTTATTAGTGAAGCTCTTTATCTGACCTTCGATTCTGAGAGATAACTTTGCTGGATAGATTATCTTTGGCTGTAGGTTCTTACTATTCATCACCTTGAATATCTCTTGCCATTCCCATCTGGCCTGCATGGTTTCTGATGAGAAATCAGCTGACAATCGTATGGGTGCTCCTTTATAGGTAACTACCTTATTTGCTCTTGCTGCTTTTAATATTCTTTCTTTGTCTTTTGCTCTTGGAATTTTAATTATGATGTGTCTTGGTGTGGTCCTCTTTGGATTCCTTTTGTAGAAGGTAGCTCTTTAAGAATGTTTCTGTGTCCCTTCCTTCCCAAGGGGAAGATTCGTTTCTCCTCAGGTCAGCGATTAAACATTCACTGACCTTGAAATCGCTATTGAGGGCCCTGGACAGGTAGCTCGTTCGGTTAGAGTATCATGCTGACATGCCAAGGCTGCAGTTCCATCCCCATTCGGGGCCCATACAAGAATCAATCAATAATGTATAAGTAAGGGAACAAGTCGGTATTTTTCTCTCCCCTTCTGCTCTCTAAAATAAATAAATAATTTTTAAAAATAAATCTTCGATTGATAAATTAGCAAAAAATATGTGAAAAAAATTATCAAACACTGAGCATAACACGATCCTATTTGAATAAACATTTACGGGGAGAAACTGTGGAGACACAGGTGTGCAGGAGCCCTACCAGAGAGCTCACACCGCGGCCCTGGGTGAGACGCGGGATATGTTTGACTTCCTTCGGTGTGACTGTGTAGCCTTCAGGTGCATTTACTGCAAGCACATTGCACATGATAAAAATAAAACAGCCTTTTTCACGTGGGAGGAAAAGCAGAGCGTCTCTGGCATGTGTATGTGCAGGGCACTGGGCGTGCGCTGCCTCCCAGCAGCACGGGCTCAGCCTTCTCTCTCTGCTCCCTGTCCAGGAGGGCGTCGAAGTGCGGGTGGCCAGGATCTTCAACACCTTTGGGCCGCGCATGCACATGAACGACGGGCGGGTCGTCAGCAACTTCATCCTGCAGGCGCTCCAGGGGGAGCCGCTCACGGTAGGTGCAGCCTCAGGTGCCGAGTGCGTGCTGGTTCAGGGTCACGTTCCCGAAGCGGCTGCCTGGGGCTTCTGTATGTCCCTGCACCCGGGTGACTGGGAGGGGAGGCGGGAGCACAGGATCCGGGAGAGGGATGGCCAGTGTCAGTTAGGTGGCCTTGCTTTCCAAGCCTGCCGAGAACATAGAGCATGGACCGCGGGCGTGGTCCACACTGCCCAGGCTGTCTGTCTGCTGTGCCGGCCTGCCTGCAAACACCTTCCCGATGTTTGCTCATCCCACTGGCCACAGCCAGGGTGTGTCTGTGCTCAGGGGCCGCTCAGGTGGCCCAGAAATAGGCATTTGTCTGGTTGGTTTGGGCACCCGGGAAGCTTCGAGCCTGGGGCCACCTGGTGGGTTGGGGTCAGTGGTCCGAGTGTGTGGCAAGGAAGAGGCCCGCTGCTCAGGGCCCTCAGGCACCCCCTCAGCCTGCTAGGCCAGGAGTGTGCTGGTTAAGTTCAGACCGTTTTCTCCGGGTTTGCCTAACCCTCAGTTCCCTCCTCTCTCCTCTTCCTGCTTCTCTTCCCTCCTGCCTTTCCCTGCCTCCACCTCCATTTCTCTGCTCTTCACGTGGGGCTCTGAGAGCGCAGTGCCTGGTGGGACTCAGATAGTTCTGCAGGGCAGTTTGCTGGTCAGCTAAGGGTGTTCCTGGGGGAATATGGCTCCATGGACATACGAATCCATCTGTCCATACATCCATCTTCCTTTCTCTGGCTGTCTACTAATGGAGTCAGTTACCTTTAACTCCTTTAGTGCTCACAGCAGATCCCTGGGCTGCAGGCGGCTTATGTGCCTGGTTTCCAGATGAGAAATGGCAGCATGGCGATTAGGTAGGTGCCCAAGCTGAGATGGCCAAATGCTGGCAGCTGTGTTTGAACCCAGAGCCTCCGCTCTTGATCACAGTTCTTAGATGTGTTTGCTGTACCGCCACCAATTTAGAACCAAAAGCTTTGCCAAATTAGAATTAAAAAACAATGTGGCTTTTTCAGGTGAGTTTTGTTTGACACATTGTAGGGAAGAGGTGAATTCAGACCCTAGCCAGGGTTTGGATGTCCCAGCCGCTGTCTCCCCTCCACGCTCAGTACACACCAGCTCTGTCTGTGCCTTGGTGTCTGAGGACAGGCACGCTGATCACACACACTCAGTCTTCTCTCCCTCACACCATGTTGGATCCACCACACATCCTAGTGGCCTTGCCCTAAGTGGATCCCGGTGCCTTCTCACCTCTTCTCCCACTGCCCTGGTCCACGCCTCCGCCCGCTCCCATTTTATTGCTGTGGCCCCTAATCACTCTCCACCCAGCGGCCAGAGGGAGCCTCAGAAGAGAAGTCGGGAGCCCCAGCCTGTGTGCCGGCGAGAGCTGGACGCGGGTGCCACACGCCCAGGACTGCAGGTAGTCTCCTGACACCGCCGTCAGGTGGCGGGTCCCCAGGTCTTTCAGGACGTGCTTGTTTCCTGACACAACATTAACATAAAGCTCACTGCCAGTGGCTCAGCTGCTCGGAGCTTCGTCCTGTGCACCAAAGGGCTGCAGGTCCAGTTCTCCGCCAGGGCACACCCCTGGGTTGTGGGTTAAATCCTCGGTAGGCACACATGTGGGAGGCAGCTGGTCACTGTTTCTTTCCCTCCTTCCTTCCCTCCCTTCTTCTATCTCTAAAAATCATTAAAAACATATCCTTGGGTAAAGATTACAAAAAAAAAAAAAAAAGATCATTGATTACAGATCACTGGAACATCTAATATATAAAAACCCTGGATCCGTCACATTGCAAGGACCAGAGGCTCGACCAACCTGAAGTCAGTCCTGCAGTGAGAGGGATATTCGCTAAACCTGCAGTCAGACACCCCCCGAGGGGTTCCAGATTGGAGAGGGTGCAGGCTAGGCTGGGGCACACCCACTGCCTCCCCCCATTCCCTTGCACGATTTCATGCACTGAGCCTCTAGTATAATAAAGGAAAAGTTTGTAACAGACACAGTGAGCCAATGCTGCTAGGATGTTCAGGCGCCACACACCTGCGGTATGTAAAGGCGCAGGGCAGTGGAGTGCAATCCGAGCAGGCACGCCTGTCTGCAGTACCTGTGGGCACAGTGACATGCCCATGTCTGTCTGCTTGTTGCCAAGTTGTGTGAGTCACACACGGGAGCTGCTTATTGAGTTCATTAAGTTTGTCTTGAAGAGACTAGTTCGCAGTACAGTTAAAACATGGGATCACGCAAATGCCATCAGAGCGGGGTTGCTTCAGCTGTGCCGCCGGCTGTTTGTTCAGGTTGCAGGTGAGGAAAGAGCTTCCCTGAGGTGCTTTCCCAGGTCAGCCCACGTGGGGCAGACGTAGGGTTTGAACCTGGGTCTCTGTCATTTTAACACCCTTGCTTTTCCAAAGGAAATTATGGGGAAGCCATACTTCTAAGACCAGTCCAAAGTTAGCATTTTATTTACTCCTCGTATGAGTCGCGTGGGATTGTAGTGACTCTTAACTTGGGCCCTTTGTCCAAGGGCAGATGAAAGGCCCTGAGGCACTGGAGGCCCCACGTGGGGTGGTCGTGCTCCCGAGGGTGCTCCCCCTGGCCTGTGCGCAGCGGCCTGCCTCTCCGTCTGGGAGCCCTGAGTGACCAGGCTCGTGACCTGCACACGGTGCTTAGTTCCCGGGCCCTGTAGTATTGCACCCATTCGCTGAGCACTTCGCTGTGCTGGGCTGCAGTAGGGCAAAGGTGAGTCGGCCCCGATTCCTGGCCCAGGGAGCTCTCAGCGGGGGAAATTGGTATGAATCCATTAGCGGAGGACTATCCCTAAAAGGGCAGAGAATTCTCTCCTGGGAATGAGCCAGAGGAGGTGTCCCAAGGACGTGGCGTCCGAGCTGGTCCCTGAGGTGAGGAGCACTGCCAGGTGGAAAGCATGTACGAGGCGGAGACGTGGGAGCATCCAGTGGACAGGAACGGAGCATGAGACACCCTCCCTCCCGCCTCCTGGCTCTACCCAGAGTCGCCTGGGTAGTTCCCAGCCTTGGCCACGCATTGGGATAACCTAGGGAGCTAGTTGTAAACACACCTATGCTGGGTCCCGGCAGAGGCTCTGTGGCCTGGCCTGACCGAGCCCAGCTTCCCGACATGGAGAACCAGGTGGGCGGCCCGCGTGCTGTGTGTGTGCAGGTTTCTCATCTGCTGGCTCCTGTCCCAGACCCTGACATACTGCCTGGCACGTCACGGTGCTGTCTCCTGAGGAAGAACTCCACACGTGTGAATACACACAGGCATGCGTAATTCTGCCCCTGCTCACCGTTGGGCACAGTGTTGAAGCACCCACACGAGGCCTAACGGTCTGTTTCCTCCTAGGTGTACGGATCTGGGTCACAGACCAGGGCCTTCCAGTACGTCAGGTAAGACAGCGGGCCCGCTGGGGGCGCTGGGCCTGGCGGTGGCGCAGCTGGGCTGTGTGGGCCCTGTGGGCATGTCTGTTATAAGCAGCCTTCCTCACGGCTCCAGGGGCCGCTCCTCTCTGTGAATTCTCCCAGTCCTGTGGGAAGCGGAAAGTGTGCATCTTGCTTCTGACTTAGGACTCCTGTGCTAGCCCTTTACTGCCACCTAGTGTCTTGTAGGTAAACTTGCCCAGCTTGAGGGCAGTTGAGTTGAGTTCAAGATTCGGTTTTGATCATCCAACAAACCCACAGGCCCGAAAAGCTGACCCACTTTAACCGTGGCATCTGGTGGACGGATGTCTTCCCCGAGGCGAGGTGCGAGTGTCTCGCTGCTGCAGTGTTGTTGCCTGGAAGACATTTGAGCACTTGGTCTGCAGTCTCACGTGGTGATTTTCGTTGCCCTCGGTGTGGGGATTTTGTCGGTCCGTCCCATCGGTGACTGATTTAAAATGCAGTTTTGGTTCTGAGAGAAGAGTCACCATGTCAACAATTCCATAGCCTCAGACCCGCTCCCAGCTGGCAGTTACTGGGAATCCCCTGTAAATTGTGGTACCCTAAATTGTTAGATGCCTTGGAATGCCTCTCAGCTGGCAAATGCTATTCCTGGCGTCTTGAGGCCATCCCGGTTTGCTGTAGCGGTGAGTGGGTGGCAGTGGGGTGCAGGTCTGGCAGCCCCCCGCCCTGCCCTCGGCCAGCGTGGTCACACAGACTTGTCTGATTATGAGGGTCCAGGGTAGAGTGATATTTCTGTACTGCGACCACATTAACACATGGTGGACCGATCACGAGATTCTTGCTTTATATTACAGTGTTTTACAAAGCGTCAAACTTTAAAAAGATGTTAGCTTGAAAGAACATGTAATAAGTAACTTCAAAATCCAGTGGGTATTTAATTTTAAGGCGTCCTTTAAACATTTATGTAAAATGTTTTGTACTCGTTCAGTAGAAACTTACGTGGCCACTGGTAAAGCTAGCAATGAAACGACTGGTCCGCAGTGTGCTCGTCGGACTTCGTGTCCGGGTGCCGTCCTTTTGTGATAGTGCGCTCGCCCGTCCTGAGGGATCTAGCGGTCTGCATTCACTGACCGTCCTGGAGCCCCCTCGTCAGTGCCCCCACGCCGCTCCCCTGTGAGCCCTGGTGAACGCAGTGAGAGACAGGGTGGAGGGGAAGTCTTTTGGAACCTAACCTCACTATTCTCATTATTTCAAGGCAGGAGATAGGAGATCATTGCACATAGCCTCAGATACTTGCTAGGGATAAGATGTTTTACGAATTTAGTGATGCGCGTGTCGCATGCCATCCAGCTTGGGACATGCTGCCTGCCTGCTCTGATGGGCGCGGCTCACGCACGTGGTCGCCAACTCAGACGCCAGCGGACAATTTGAGGACGGGCCTTGGAAGAGTCACTGGAAATGTGACTGACAGCCCTTTCCCAGAGCCCTTCCTTCATAACGCTGCGTCGTCACTACGTCCTCCGCTGGACATGTCCGCACCTCATGTCATAGAGGCCGAGGTGAGGAGGCTCATGACTTCCTCTGTCAGTAATTCGGGACTCACTGAGAGAGCTCCCTTACCAGAGTTGTGCGGTTTTGAAAAAGCTGTTTCTGCCTGAGCAGCAGAATCGTCTTGCTGCACTTAGAGTGCACAGTGTCTGAGCCTGCAGTTACTGTACTGCCGCGGGCAGCACTCCGGTCCGGAGGTGGGCACAGGCACCACCACCCGTGTCAGTCCGCGCCTCATCCGCACGCCCTGCAGAGGCTTCTCAGAGCAGCGGTTCTCGACCTTCCTGATGCCGACCCACAGGTGGAGAGCCGCCGCTGTGGAGCCTAAGACCATCGGAAAGCACAGATATTTACATTACGATTCATTAACAGTAGCAAGATTACAGTTACGAAGTAGCAACGAAAATAATTTTGGTTGGCGTCACCACAACTTGATGAACTGTATTAAAGGATTACGGCATTAGGAAGGTTGAGAACCACTGCTCTAGATTTTTTTTTTTTTTTTTTTTTTTTGAGTCGCTTTGTCAAAATGACACTTTTACAGAGCTGAGCTTCAGCTTAAATGAGAGTGATCTACGCAATTTTGTATTTAAAATTTGTCAGTTATTAACATACAAGATGCACGACCCGCCTCCACTCCCCAGTGAGCTGGACTGCAGAACCGTCATCTTCCAGCTTAATAAGGCCCCTCGCTCTGCAGGGGCAGTAAACGGCTGGGACTGCTGAATGGCAGCTTGAGCATCGTATGCCCTGCGGGGCGTGTGCCTAAGAGAATGTGCTGTGAGCTCAGCACGGGCAGAGTGACGCAGGCACTGTGTCTGTTTCTGGAAAAGTCAGCATCGGTGCTTGAAGCTGTGAGAACAGAACGGACTTCTGGAGTCTTCATACAAAATACCCTTTTGCTGTAAACAAAAACCCAGAAAATTGTTTACGAAATACCCCACCCAAAAAAAAGTTTCAATGAAAGGAAAGCAAAAGCAGGTTTTCTTTTGGAAGTTGGCCATAGTAACGTCTCCTTTCTGGTGATGATGGAGGGAGAGGGAGAGTTTCAAATGGGACGCATTTGGGTCATCAGAACCTCAGCGTCCTCTGAGACCTTTTGGACCTCACGGACCACCGTGGGCCACGGCTGGTGTAGGGAGAGCGCTGAAGAAGCAGGCAGTGCAGAGCAGTGAGGTGTCATTTTTACAGAGTAACTTTTTGTTTTTAGCAGAAACTTGTGGAAATAAGAAACAATCCTTGGTAAGCGAAAATCTGCTTACTTATCTTCCGTTTCGTGGCCGGTGGGTCACGAGCTATTTGACACATCCAGGCACCTGTTTCATAGAGGCGCGTGGGGTGGGCGGGTGAGCTGACGATTCGGGGAGTCGGAGCAGGTTCCGTATTTCCATGCACAGCGCCTGCTCTCCCTGCGCGCTGCCAGGTGGGAATTCCACAGAGAGGGCTTCCGTTCCAGGGGGTCTTACAGTGGGTTTGCAGTCACCTCCTTCCCACGGGCCAGCTACCTGGGTTCACTGTCCCGGGCACTTTCAGCAGGAATTGTATCAGCCCCATTGTTTCTGGGCCTGTGCCTACTGCAGTTTATGTTCATGTTGTGGTAGTGTAAGGGTTTCAGAAATTGATAAAGTAGAGCCCTCAGCCCCGTCACTCAGCTTCCTCCTGGTCGGTGTCCGCACCTTCCCAGGCGAGCAGCCCCGGGGTCCTGTCCTTTCACCCCGTGCTCGCTGCAGCCCACAGGCAGGATGCAGGCTGACATATGCTCTCCCATCTGGGTTTGGCGTCCGGCGCCTGAGCGGCCCCCTTCTCTCCTAGCGACCTGGTGAACGGCCTGGTGGTGCTCATGAACAGCAACGTCAGCAGCCCCGTCAACCTGGTGAGTCCCCCCCCCCCCCCGCCCCCCCCCCCCCCCCCCCCGCCCCCATCTCAGAGCAGGCCACGCTGGCTCCTTTGTTCCCTCAGGGCAGCACTTATTGTCTGCTGAGTCCTAGAGGTAGCAGCCAACCCAGTGAGACAGTGAGAAGGCGCAGAAGCTGCATGTCTGTGGGACACAAAGCGTGGTGGGATGGGGCTGAGCCAGCTGTGTCCCAGGCACTGGCGGAGCGCTTTGGCACTGGCAGGCGGGCATGTCCTGGTGTGTCCTCTCTGCCTCTTTCTTCTTTTTGGGGACGTTTGTACAGCATATTTGGAGGCTCCCGTCTCTTGCAGAAACCCGTTTTCCTGAGTCTGAAGCACATCTGCCAACGGTCCTGATGGAGATGGGCCGCTTTCTGCCAGACCCGGCCCTGCCCGCACTGCCCCCGTTAGGCCCAGGCCCGCCCGCCGTGTACCTCCTCCCTCTGGGCAGGGAGCTGTCCCCTTCTCGGCTGACTCCTAGGGGTTTGGGAGAGAAGAGGGGCCGTTTCCTTTGTGTGTGATGGGAGGAAGAAAGGGAGACAACAGTTTCCCTTAAAGTCCCCCTAAGTCAGCTCACTTATAAACTGCACCGTGTCCCCCCCATGGCTGGCCCAGCCCTCCACTGTGAGTGTATCTTCCGAGTCCTTTATTACTGACACTGCCGTTAGATAGGGGCATTGTCATGGTGAATCGGCCAGCAGGCGTTTTCACATTAGACCTTGACCTTGCCAGACGGTGTCCCATCCAGACATTCTGGAGGACAGGATGAAGTCACTCTGCCATGCGGAGTCCGTCATCAGGGCGGTTGGGTGCCCGCGCCCCTCGGGAGGCTCGGCTGGCCCCGGCACCTGGGAAGCCGTGCACGTGTGGGGTGGTGGTGCCGGCTCAGCCGATGCAGTTACACCCATAACCAGACCCCGTTTCTTCCTCAGGGGAACCCAGAAGAGCACACCATTCTGGAGTTTGCTCAGCTAATTAAAGACCTCGTAGGTAAGTAGGGCACACACTTTCCTGGGGGGAAGTGCCTGCTCCTCCTGTCTGTCAGGACGCCTGGTCTGGAGATGTGTGATGGATAGAAGCTAGTTGAGTTGGATAAAAAGCAGACCTTTATCAGGAGCACTTAATTGCTCTCTGCTTCTTTAAGAAATGGGAAGATAGGGTGGGGAAGGAGGTGGGTTTTGTTCCCCTTTGTAATCACAGGTGTACGTGAGTGGGAGTACAGCTCAGTGCCCGGTGGAGACCTGGTGCCGTTAGCTCCCTGTGCACAGATGACGGGTTTGGTTTCAGGCTCTGAGAGGTGCTGGCCTAAAACCCAGTGGGCCACAGAGTAACCCCCTGCTTTTGTGGTAGCTGTGTGACACCCCCCAGATCATGCTGGCTGAAGCAGCAACCGTATAATTTGCCCAAGGCTCTGCCCCTAAGCAGGTTTCTGGTGCAGGCCTGGCCGGGGCTCCCTGTTGTGGTTCGTTCCGGTGGCCAGCAGGGTCTAGGTCCAGCAAGGATGTTGAACAAGCCAGGCTCTGTCCTGCTTGCGGCCTCCAGCGGGGTTGCTGGACATCTTAGTGTTGCTCAGGTCTCACTCCTGCAGGCACGTAGTGCCCAGGTTTCGGTGGGCATCAGCCGGAGCTGGCCCAGGGTCATTCTCCCTGCACTCTGCGGTTAGTGAGTTAAAGACCCCCCCTGGTTCTGGGCGAGGCCTCGTCCAGGGCATGGCCGGTGCTCAGTGGGGGCAGCAGGGTCATTGGCACCTGCACACTGTATGTGGGCACTCCTGCCATGTTAGCTAATGGTGAGTGGTCTGCCTGAGAGCTGGCAGTGTCGGTTGGCCCTCAAGTGTCACTCAGGCCTGTTGGCAGCAGAGTAACCTGCCCGTCACCATGCTCTTGGGGGACAGAAGCGCAGTCCCGCAGGCGGCTGAAGGACTCCCGTCACCCAGCCTGTACCAGTCATCTGACATGCAGGGAAACATCACATCCCTGGAGGTTTGTGATGCTCTGGCCTTCTCTTTTTTAAAACAACTCAGGTAGTGGAAGTGAAATCCAGTTTCTCTCCGAAGCCCAAGACGACCCGCAGAAAAGAAAACCAGACATCAAAAAAGCGAAGCTGATGCTCGGGTGGGAGCCTGTGGTAAGTGGGGACCCGTGCATCTCGCATAGATACATGGGAGAAACGAGGGAAAAAGGAAATGAGTAACTCAGAACTCAGGCTTACGTACCGTCTTCACAGGGAAAGAAGAGGGGGAATGTAGGCCTTTCAGGGGAGAGGAAATGACCTAAGAAGGTGAATGAGCCCTGAGAAGAATAGATGGCGATGGATGATAGTTTGTGACAAAGTTTATCTGCTGACAGCTCTAGTGTCCACTCCTATAACACATCAGACCCTCTGATTCTGAAACGCTTTGGGAAGGACTTTTGACAACCGAGTTCTTTCTGTGGAGGGTTTCTCTTTAGGCGGATAAGGGGATGCCTCCCCTCGCATTTCTGTTTTTCAAGTGCCTACAGCTCAGACCCATCAGAGTGGCAGATCTGGGGGGCCCGTCCTGAACTCCCGCAGTTATGTTTTGGGGCGGCATGTTCTGCTACGCGACAGCGGTCCAGGGAACTCAGTGAGCAGAAGGCAAAATGTTGAACCTTAAAGAGGCGGGAGAATATCTGCCCTGTTCTTATTCTGTCCTGTGATCTGCAGTCTTAGTATCGGCTGCAGGCACAGAACCTGCTGTCTGGAATGAAACCATGACTATGCCCAGACTTAACAAAGCACAGAACAAGGAACGGCGAGCACAGGCCTTCCTATTTAGGAGGGATTTGTCGTTGGTCCCTTTCTAAGCAGAGCCTGTTTTAAGCAAAAGGCTTTGAATAAAGTTAGATGCACATTCGCTATATAGTAACTGGCCTATAATTTATGTGAAGTGTGTATTCAGGGGTATTTTTATTTGTCTGGAGCTAAGTATAATAATATAGCATCTTGGAATATAAGTCACCTACTGCTAGTTTCTCTTCCTGCTAGTAGTTTAATTCATAAGAAAACTTTTCAGAGATCTTGTCCAAAGAAGCTTTAGTCCAGTCCAACTTAATATTCCCATGTTTGTCTGTTTCTAACAGCTCTGATGAGATTGGCATGCAGCAAACTGCCATATTTAAACTGCGCGATTATAAGTTTTGACATGAAACCATTGCCACCGAGTTAACAGCCATCTCCTCCTCCTGGTTTCTGACCTCTGGCCTATTCTCCCACTTCTCCCTTTATTCTTTTAATGGGCAGTTGATTGGATTTCCATTTCCTGTTTGCTGTAGGCTGCTGCAAGTGAAGATTGCTTTTTATTAGGCCCCTCTGAGATTCAGCCCCTGAGGTCCGTGGGGTGGAAGTGCAGAGAGGCGGTGTCTGAGAGAATGAGGGATGCGATCAGATACAGGTGCTTCCAGAGCACCTTTCCTCCGTGGTAGGGTGTGTGTGCACTCCTGTATAAGCGATCTTTGTGACTGGTGCCAATTGGAGCAGATACTGAATGCAGAAGCCATTCAGATCTCTGGCGGTTTGGAGTTCATTCTTTTGATGTCAGCCCGGAGAATAATTTGTCAGAATTCCCAGGGCATTTAAAGGGCCCTTTGCAAAGATGGCCTCTCCCTTGTGACCCACACCCGTGCTGTGACCTCAAGTCGTCACTTCCTTCCTGTGACGCCCGAGACTGTCTTGTTCAGTCGCCGCCATGTCTCTCATTCTCCCTTTCTTTTAAACAGGTCCCGCTGGAAGAAGGTTTAAACAAAGCAATTCACTACTTCCGGAAAGAACTCGAATACCAGGCGAATAACCAATACATCCCCAAACCAAAGCCCGCAAGAATAAAAAAAGGACGGACGCGCCATAACTGAGCACCTCACTCTGGGGACGGAGACTCCCTGTTTCACACTGATGAGATGTACTTTTCTTTTTTCTGAAAGACTTAAACAGGTGTCATGAAGAACAAACTGGAATTTTATCTGAAGCTTGCTTTAAAGAAATGGATGTGCCTAAAAACTCCCCTCAAAAACCTGCAAATTTTGCCTTGCACTTTTTAAAATCTGTCTTTTTATGTAAAATAGCATCTCTGCGTATTTTCAAGTTTTTTATCTTGCTGTGAGAGCAAACGTCACGACTGTCGTTGACAGTTTTTTTTACTGGTTTCTTTGTGAAGCTGAAAAGGAACATTAAATGGGTTGAAAATGCCGATTTTATTTATAAAAGGACCTATAAATGAGACGTAATACTCTGCATAAAGAAAAAAACAGCCGAACCATGCTGTCAGGGTGGCCCTGGCACTTATTCTTTGGTGGATCAAAGAATTCTGTCTGAGAGCATTGTGTTTCTTTCAACTCAGAATTTTTCCAAGGTCCGGATTTGAGTTGCAAACTTGACTTTGAGATATTTCCGTCAGATATTTGAAATCACTACTGTGTTGTGCTGCGTATTTGGGGTGAGGTGGGGTGGGGGACAGAGTTTAAGGTATTGGTTAACAGTGGTTAAATATGCTATTTTAATAAAATATTGAAACTCACTTTTAAAGGTTGGCTGGCTTTCTGCTTTCATTGTTGGATTGCTCAGAAAAATGTTGAGAAATTTAATTTTAAAAATTCTGTAAACATTTATGCTGGTATATATATAATTAGATGAGTGGATAGTGAAATCTTTTATAGGCCCTGGGGTTGAGTTTGAATATGTTAACTGCTGTGTGGAGACATCTTTAGCTCTTACCAGGGTTAGAATCATTGTGTGTCCTTTTCTGGCAACAAGACCAGACGGAGGAGAAGTGCCTGTGAGCTCATGAGTGAAAACTTCCAGAGCTTTTCCTGTCCTTAAGAATTCTTTCAAGATTTAGTTTTTATTTTTGTATTCCTTTTAAAACAAATGGAAGAACAATGCCATTAAGTCCAAGCAACACATTCAGTAGGCTCTGCACGGGATGAACAAACTGGAACCAGCACTGAGGAGGCCAGAGCATTTGGCCAGAATACCCTTTTCCAAACCTAACCAGGATTTTGTCCTTCAAAATCACCTTGGAATGATTTTTTAGTTGGAGATATTTTTTAATCAGAATCTGGTGCCAGGCCAAGAAAGGAAGTTTTGGCTTTATTTGTCATGCTCAATTTTTCACAAGATTCTAAAAAGTTGGTGCTAGATTGATGTGAGGGGGAAGAGAGGACACAAGGATGGTTTCTTATTTTTGTCATTCTTTTTGCCAGAACTAAGTGATGCTCTATTTATTGAATAGGGATGAACAGAAATGAGAAGCTACTTTGGAAGCTGCTAATGGTGACCCATACAAGGAAGAAGGGGCGGAGGAGTGGTTATGTGTAATAAGTCACACTCAGGGAAGGCGTAATAAATCCAGGGAAATAATGAAAACTTCGAATTAAGCATATGAACATCCCAGGGAGACAGGAAGTGGTATTGAGGGAGCCTAGATTTCAACTGCACTCTGTGGACACTGAGTCCAGCCTATGGAACCCACGTAGATTCCTGTACCATCGCTACTGCATGAGTCCTGGCAGAGTCTTAGTCATGTGTGAGCTTGACTTAGTTCTTAACCTAGAAGTTATGTTGAGTCAAACACTGGTCTGGCCAGAGTGAGTAGCAGTTTTGTCTCATAAGAGCCAGGGAAACCTGGGTGGCCCTCAGTGATTTCCTGGGCATGAGTTTCAGGGTTTCAGTTTGCCTATTACCTGGTAAAGTGATCTGTGTGCTTCGCCTGGACTTTCTCGGTGGTTGATTGCTACCTTAGATAGAAAATTGAAAAATGGCCTTGCCCCGAGACTGCTACTACAGCTTCCAGGGGGTAGGATGCACATTGTTTCAAAGACCCCAGTAGGGCTTGTTCCAATTATTGAGATTAACCCATCTGTTTTATCTGCTTTAAAAATCCTGTTTGTAGCTTAGTCACATTGGGGAACAAGGATCATTTATATCTACAGCTGTGTGTGGGAAGGAAAATAGCGATTTGTTTTATCGAAAATTATTTTTTTTCACCCTTTAGGTAGGACAGTATTTAGGGGGCTGGCTCCTTTCCCTTTCCCCAGGGGAGGGGGAAGGCTATTGTATAACCCCCGCAGGTTAGATTGGTTAATTAGTTTCTCCTGGGGCAGGCCTTGTTAAAAAGAACAAACAGTTCCTTTTTCCTTCCTGATGCCAGTAGCAAGGAGATTTTTCTCCGCTCTTCACCATGAGAACCCAGTTGAACTCCTGGAGGTGAAACTCAAAATGTTGGGGTCCCCATTTGGCTGGCTCCCCCCGGATTTTTAAACTTGGACTTGTCCACTCTAAGCCTCCAACAATTCGTCAATTAAACTTCAGGTTTTCTGACCCTGGCACTGATCATGTAGAGGTGGCTAACCAGTGAGCTGTGATTCTCTGTATTTGCCTGTCAGTCTTCTCAATTTGAGGGAAAGAGGTTTGCCTTTTGACCTCATTTCTCTGGTATATCGAAGGAGAGTTACTAATTTTGTTTGTTCTGCCTTTTAGCAGATACGATGGAGTGATGACGTCCCAAGACCCTTACCTGTTGGTTAATGGATTTGTTCAAGAACCTTAATGATAAATGATTCCATTCACTGGGAAGACATTGATTCTAAATTTATATGTATCTACTGAATTTGCCTATAGCCTCATATAAAACCAGGCTGATAAGATTAAAGGAAAAACTTGTGAAATCCATCAGCTTTTAAAACCAATAGATCACACACTAGTCAGATCAAGTGGATCCCTCAAAAGAAAGAAAATAGAAAATGAGATAAGTGTAGCTATGGAACTTGAGCTAATGGACTTGACTTCATGATGTCTGGAAATGGGAACACCGACCAAGGCAACACCCACATGGACATGAGGCTGGCTGACCCCAGTGTATACTCAAAGGATTTGGATCTGACTGACTACATTGTCTTTAACTACAATGCAATTAAGCTAGAAAACAAAGCCAATAAGATAATATTAAAAATTCATTCGCTTGAAATCATCATACTAAAAGGCTAGTATGTGTAAGGTTTGAGGCGCAGGAAACTGGCCACCAAGGAGTTTTAAAGTAAAGTTTATTCCCCGGTAATGAGCGGAGGTAGAGAAATCAGAATTGAAGGAGTGAGGAGGGGGGAGGACCCAGCCGGGCTGCCACTTGGACATGGAGGATCAGCGGCACATGGCTAGTCTGGGGGTCTTTTTAAGGGGAGGAACAGGAGAAGGTTGGACCCAGGGCAGAACAGGAAGGGGTGGGCTCCAGGACACTTTGGCAGGTGCTGATTGATGGCTCTGTCTTGGAGATGTCTCTGTGACAGGTGCCAGTAACGTCATAACTCCACCCACCAGTTGGGAGGAGGGAGAACCTTATAGTATGTAAATGGTCATCATGCTGTGATGCCATGACTGATCAGCAGTGACCTGAAGTTGTGTGGCACCTTGCCAGGCCTAGAGACCTCAGGCTGCACCCCTGTCCCAGTGCTGGACTGGGGGACCTGAGGCTGCGCCCCCGCCCCAGGGGGGCTTGACAAGGGTAGGGCCGGCCATATCTGGGTTTCACCTAATGGGAGTGGGGCTGGCCGGGTCTGGGTCTGGTGTGATTTCAAGGCACGTGCAGATGGGTGGGGACTTGACTCTGGGTCCTGTGGTGTGCCCGAGACTGACAGGAGGGAGACTTTCATATACATTTTACTAATTTTCTTTCATCTCTGACACTTCTATTATAGAGAAGGGGCAAATAGCAATATTAAATATTTCCTCTAATTAATTCCCTTTTAATGTGCATGAATTTTGTGCAGTGGGCCATTAGTTTAATAATACTTATAATCAACTCATGGGTCAAAGGAGAAATTATAATTGAAATTAGAATCTTTCATCACATCCAACTTTCGGGATATGGTATTTGGAAGGTGACAAGGAAGGGAGGGGGGTTTGGGACTGAAGTTGAGCAGCCATCAGGGTCTCTGTAGTTTGTTACTTCTTCAGGAGACAGTCTGGGCAGATGTCCTAGGAAGGTGTCTTACCAGTATTTTTCCCAAGCTTGTAAAACATGCGTAGAGCAAAAACAATGAAGAGTTCAAAAAAGGCCTATTTGAAGGGATGTGGGAGGAAGGGAGCATTGTATTAACTATCCCTGAGTTGTAAAACCAGCAGGGAGGGGAGTATGCAAGAATGTAGCTTTGAGGGTAGCTTATCTTGTCTTTTGAAATTTGAACAGAGAACCTGTTTGAACCAGAGGAGCTGACAATCTTGGGGTTTAATTACCAGTTACTTGTTATAAATTGCAAAAGACCATAGTAAAGAAAAAGAAAGGCCTTTTTTTTACATCTCTTTAGAGTCCATTTAAATGAGGCACCCGGAATAGTCAAATTTATGAAGATGGAAGGTAGAATGTCAGGTTCCAGGGGGAGGAGCTGAGAGGGAAATGGTATTTAATGGCACAGTTTCAGCTTTGGAAGATGGAAATTTTTAAAATGGATGATGGTGATGGTGCACAAACTGCTGAACTGTACCCCCAAAATGGTTAAAATGGCAGATTTTATATTATGTGTCTCTTGCCATTAATTTAAAAAAGCTGCAAGGATTCCAAAGGAAGAAATGAAATTACTGATGTGCAGTTGTTTTCATTGTCCATACACTGCTCTCCAGAGCTGGTGCTTCCTGCTAAGCCCAGGGGTTTTGTTACCTGTGATTCCAAATGGGGATGTGTTTCAGAGACTATTTGCAAAATTATGTATCATTTTTCTGAGGAAGAACAAACAAGCTTCCATTAGGACAGCTTTTTTTACAGGAATGCCACAAGACTTTTTAAAACATGCAATACCTGATTATTTAGTTAGGGCCTTGACCTCTTTTCCCTTAGATTGTAAAAAAAAAAAAAAAAAAAGTGACAACAGCCATCAGCCAACACAATAGGCTTTTGGTGTGAATGAATAAAAATCATACTTTTTATTATTATTTTTTTTTTTGAGCAACAAAAAATATTTGTTGGTGTGCAGCAGAATTTTAGAAATTAGTTTATGGGTGCCAAGAGGTGAAAAGGGCTGAAAAGCACTGCATTAGATGGTCAGAGGGGTCTGCAACCCTCAGAAGTATAAGAGCCATTCTGAGTGGATCCTTCTCATCCTGCCCCACCCCCACGCCCCAGCTCTGCAGACCCGCAGGCTGTGACCATTCCTCCCAGTAATGCCCAGCCCCTCACCGGCCTCCCCCCTCCTTCCCACCTTCCTCATCCCCTTTCCCCGCCCCAACCCCACTTTTCACTTCATTCACTCAGTGACTTAAATGCGGCGTGAAGTATAAGCTTAAATCTTGAAGTCCTGGGGCAGGGTTTGATTTTTAAAGACAGGGAGGCTCTGAGACCCACCGGACTTCGGGCTTTCCCTCGTACTCTTCCTGGCATGGAGGGTGGCACTGAACAGGTGCTCAGGGACTGGACCAGAGGCTCAGTCCTGTAACTTGGAAATAATGTTCAACTCAGCTTCCTTGCTGGAGTTACATCCTGCACTCAGTGTGGCCCGAATTTACCCACAGGAAGACCCCTACTGAGTCCGTCATGCCCGGGGAGGCCAGTTCCTGGGAGGCTCCACTGGGATAACAGACAGGGGCCTCTCAGATGACGCTCAACTTTGCAAACATCCAATAACAACGCTGCGGCCAGCTTAACTGTCACCCAAATGCATCCTGAGACTTCTTAACAAAATGCTTTTATTGTTATTTTTAATGAAATGCACTTCCAGGCACTTGCATAAGCTGTATAAAAAGGCATTTATATTCGTTGTTTGCACACTTCCTTTCTGGTCACAGAAAGTGGGCAGAAAAGAGCAGCCGAAACAAAGCACAACAGAGGCCACCTGTGCCAGGTTAGGAGGAGGAGAGGGACCCTCCTGGCACCGGACAGGCGGGACCCGGTTAGTAGTCGTCGTAGTTGACGCTGGCTCCGTGCCGGAAGCTGTCGGGGCTCCGGGGACCGATGGCGGCGTCTTCATCGTAGTGACGGTGGTGGTCATCGTAGTAGTCGTGTCCGTTCCGGCCTCTGCTCTGCCAATAGGAGACATCGTCTTCAAATTTCTGGTGAAGAAGGAACCGTGGAGAGCGGGTTTAAGGACGCACGTCTGGCCATGCCGCACCCCTGGCTTTCTCTGTGTGGCTTCCCTTCGATGGTTAACACCCTGGCTAACAATGAGTCCTTGTTAGAGCATTGCTGTGCTTCTGGTCTTGCTATTAGAATCTTATAGGATCCTCCTCTATTATGATTTTGTCATCAGACATTATTTTAGCCATTTCCCCATGTTGAACTCGTAATACCCATTCTTATGAACTGCAAATACTGGTCATCAAAGAAATGCCAAGTGCTGGAAGATGATATAGCATTTTCATCTATCAAATAAGTAAAAAAATTAAAATTTTCAGTGAGAATAACAGATGCTGCTGCAGATGTGAGAAAATTGGGACCCTCACCCATGACTTACAGGAATATGGGTGAGGGTCCCAATTTTCGGGACGACCCTTGAATGTAATCCTGTTATTGCCCAGTAACTGCCCTGCACAGAACGCAGTACCGAGTGAGAAGCTACACACCAAGACGCCAATAATAGTACCGGCCTTTTAGGTTGTGAATGTTAAGTAGTTAATTCACACAAGGACTAGAATAATTCCTGGCACAGAGTTTGGCTATAAGTGTTTAGCTATTTGCACAACAAAAAAATTATATTTGAGTAGCAAAAAGATAAAAGGGGAGCAGCTGATATGTCCAACGGCTGGGAATGAGAAAGAAATTATGATATGGCTACAGGCTTGCATTTTATGCAGCTATTAAAAATGGTCTCTTTAGGTCCTGGTTGATTTTATCATCGGATTCTTTGTTTTATTGTTCTTGGGTTATATGAGTTCTCTCTACATTTTGGGTATTAGCTCCATATCAGAGATATTGTTTGCAAATATCGATATATTCTACCTTTCAGTTGGTTGCCTTTTATTTTGTTGATGGTTTCTTTTGCTGTGCAGAAGCATTGTAGTTTGATGTAGTCCCATTTGTTTATTTTAGTTTTGTTTCCTAATAAATTTAATGTAAATCTGATGCCGCTAAAGAGTTTAATTTGTTTTCACCTATTGCATTATTTTGTATACACCCTTGGTTCACAATATGAATCCTGAGTCCGTTAGGAAAAACACTTCCATCTGCCCTGCTGGAGATGCCGCCCTCCCTTCACTCCCTGGCCGTGGTAGAGGGCTGAGTGCTCTCTCTAGACAGGGTGGTGGGCTGAGTACTCCCTGACCAGGGTGGAGGGCTGAGTGCTCCCTGGCTGAGATGATGGGCTGAGTGCTCCCTGGCCGTGGTGGAGGGCTGAGTGCTCCCAGCACTACCCCCCCTCCACCGCGCTGGCTTACCTGGCCCTGGCCCCAGCTGGGAGTGCTTGGTTATAAACGCGTTTTTTCTGTAACGATGAATTGCCCCTTCTCTCTACCTGGGCTCGTGAACCAAACCATCTTTTCCTGCAAATGCACTGACAGATTCTCCCCAAGACATTTTCAGACCCCTTTCTCTTTAAACGAAAGTTTCACCTCCTTCCCTTGGCCTCGTGGGTCTTCCCATTGGTCTGGGTGTTTCTGACATTTTTTGAGGGAAAGCTGGAATGTGTTTGGGAGGTTGTGAGTTACTGTAAGGACACCCAGGCAAAGCGGTGGGAACTGTCCCCTGGAAGACTGGACTCTGCTGAATCTAAGTTCCAGCCAGTCTGGGCGCTGCCTTCTCTGGAATTTGGCTTCCCACTTGGACCCGGTGTGATGGAAAATTCCTGCTGCTGCCCTCATATCGATGCTCACATAACCCGTAACCGATGCCTGGATGGCCGTGGCAGTGGGGGATGTGGTAGTGGGGGAAGGATGCTTCTGGAGTGAATAACGGAGCCTAAATTTCTGTGCCATTCCCCCCGCTATTCCCCCGCCCGGCCCTGCAGGAAGCCAGGCCGCGGGAGCGGGTACCCACCGCCTCGTCGAAGCCCATGTAGAGGAACTGCTGGTACCACTGCTGCACCTCCGGCCGGGTCCGGTCCCACAGCTGCCGGCGCTGGCGCCTCAGGCTGCCTAGGAAGCTTTTAGCCGTGCTCTCAGCCACAGCCACGTCGGTTTTCTTTGGAGCGGACGCTGAAACAGGTGAGTCCCACCCCAAGGCACAGAGATGACCTCTCTTCTCATTGGGAGGATCACTTTTATACCCCTCATCAGTGCCCCCCGGGAAGACAGTGCTGGCCCAGCCTCACATGTACGTGAGGTTAGTGAGCGCTCCTGTTTGGGAACAGTCATGTAACAGGGCATGGTGACCTTCACCTCTCAGGCCCGGGGTGGGAATGAAGGCAGCTCCCTCTCCGCAGCCTCTCACCGCGCTGGGACCAGGCCTCGTGCGGAGGTGGGGCTACTGCTGGGCTCTGCACTGGGAGGCACAGCTGTCTGGTGCATATGCACTGTGCGTGCAGGCAGGCGAGCACTGGGCTTGTTAGGACACTAGGGAGTGGAAAGAACCAGAGCGATGAGCTTGAGGGGCCAGACCAGGCCCAACCTCCAGTGCTCACGGCAGATCGCTACAGTGCACAGTGCCCCCTTGGGCACCACCTCGGGCCTCCTGGCAGCCAGCCGAATAGGAGGGTCTGGTGCTGGCTGGGCCGTGCTTCCTCCTGTCTTCTTGTGGGGCTGCAGCTGTGTAGAAGGCAGTTCCTCGGCAGGTTTGCCAGGGGGCGCTCTGCACCGGGTCTGCCCTGCTGGCTGGCTGGGCCTGGCCCTCCTACATGGTGGGCCTGAGTGTCCCTGTCGTGGGCTGACGTGAAGGCTGCCAGAGGAACGGGAGTGAGTACCCTCTGTGTTCCTTGTCACGTGGACAAACACCAGGGGGTTGTTTTCACTTTTGTTCACGTCTTTTCCCTTGGGGCCTACCACACTGTTGTGCACACAGCAGGGCTGCATATGAATTTCTTGGCTTGCAATGAATAAAAGTTGAGGATCTACACCCAGGACTTGTGGCCATTCTGGCAGTTTCTCCTCCAGCCCCACCTGTCTGTTGGCCCTGTGAGTTGTCTGTGGGGTTGTCCGTGGGGACAGGTTAGCTGCCCAGCCAGGGGAGGAAGCCCCCTGAGGCATCTCCGATACTGAGGAGAGACCCAGGCCACAGGAGCAGCTGGGAATCCTGGGAAAGATGCCCAGGAGCCCTGATTCTGAGAGGGGTTCCCTAAGGGTGAGTGCTGGAGGCAATTTAAGCCTGCTAGATTCCCCACTAACTCAGAGAGACAAGAGTAAGTTATTTCCGGAAGCCACGGTCCGGAAACAGCCCAAGTGCCCATCAGTAGATGAGTGGATAAAAAAGCTGTGGTACATTTACACCATGGAATACTATGCAGCAGTGAAAAATAAGAAGCTCTTACCCTTTGAAACAGCATGGAGTGACCTGGGGAGTATTGTGCTAAGTGAAATAAGCCAGTCAGAGAAAGATAAGTATCACATGATCGCACTCATATGTGGGATCAAATAAAATAAACTGATGATTAAAATAGACTCAGAGACAATGAAGCATGGAATGGACTGACATATTTCAGAGGGCAAAGGGGGGGAAGAGATTAACCAAAGATCTTGTTTGCATATATGCATAACCCATGGGCACAGAGAATAATGTGATGAAGCCTGGGTAGGAGAAAGGAGCAGGATGGAGGGGGTTAATGAGAGAGAGGAAGGGGGACATCTGTAATACTTTCATAGTATTGTATTTGATATAAAGATAAATTTTAAAAAGAACAAGTGGTCCTAGTCAGTTTGGCTCAGTGGATAGAGCGTTGGCCTGTGGTCTCAATGGTCCTGGTTTGATTCCAGGCAAGGGTACATGTCCGGGTTGCAGGTTTGATCCCCAGTATGCAGGAGGCAGCCAATCAATGATTATCTCTCATCATTAATATTTCTATCTCTCTCTCCCTTCTCTGAAATCAATATATATATATATATATATATATATATATATATATATATATATATATATATTTAAAGGAATAGTGATTAAATGTTCACATCAGAAATGTGGCAGTTAATTTTACAGGTGAGATGAAAAATCCGAGAGAGAAATGCCCTTCACAAGAGCACAGTACTGGCCCAATGGCCGCCGGATGGCGATGGCGGATGGTGATGGTGGATGGCCCCGGCTGCTGTGGCTCCCAGGCTGCTCTGCGGCACTCTGCTGCTGTCCATATTCGCCCAGCGTGTGAGTAAGAAGAAGCATTTGGGTTGACCCTCCCCACAATAGCTAACTGGAGATGGACCACCAGGACCGTACAATAGGTGTGCATCCACCTGCTGAGCTTTGCTGGACTCTACAATGCGCTCTGACGGGACCACGGCCCCAACACAAACAGCAGCAATTCACACTGCAGCACTGCCTCTCTTAGCTCCGAGTCCACACTGACAGCTTTCAGTAAAAAACAGCCTTCAAACATTCCTGGCAAAAATATTAACTAATAACATATCACACCACACGCCCACAGAACAAGCTCTTCAGGCCTGCTAACCTTTTAAGGACCAAACACTTCTGAGTGGCCAGACATGACACTCAGGTGAGCACGTTCAGTGTGGCCATTGCATTTTAACCCCTTACCCGCTGGGGTGTATTTACCTTCCCGCTTCTGAAGCATCAGCTTGAGTGTATTTCCACGCGTGGCGCCTGAGGAATGGAAACAGAGACCAGGTTCAGCGTGGCCGGGCTCTTTAACACCTCAAATGCAAAAGTCAGTTGGAAAAACCCACTGCGTGTGCCCGTCTTGATTTGGCAACTTGACTGTAGCACATATACTGCTTTGGGCTCACTGTGTTCCCTGTTGTGCAGAAAAAGCAGTTCAGGCTGCCCGTGGCCCAGACCAAGGCAATGACTGTGGCTGGCCAGGGACATAATGACATGAGCTAGTCCCTGGAGAGTGGCCTTGCTCTGTCAGTCATTACGTCCTATTCTGAGGGCCACCTGCCCTAGGTTTCTCTCTGTGTGGTACAGTGGGTGGGAGTGTCCCCCACTCCAAATTCTCCCGCCCCGGAAACCTCTGTGTTAATGAGTAGAGCTCTCGAGGTGCTATCACACTGAGCCTAGGGTGGGCTCTGCACCCCGAGACCTGTCCTCACAGGAAGGGGAGACGATGCAGAGAAGGCCGTCAGAGGACAGCAGCAGAAAGGGAGCTGAGCTGACACACGCCCTGTCTTCGCCCTCTCCTAGCCCAGCCCAGCCCAGCCATGTAGCTTGTCCTGCTACCTCAGAGTCAGGCCTTCCTTGCACCATTCGCTCTGACTTTTATTTACCTCCAAACATGTTTCTAATCAGCCCGAGCATTTCAATGGAAAACTACACGTCTGGCCTGACGGAACGCCCTCCACATGCGGGCACTGTCAGCACCTCTGGTCCCTCAGTGCACCTGTAAGTAGAAGGCCTGGCCTCTGAAGGGAAACAAAGCCGTGGGAAAGCCAGCCTCCGAGTAGGGAGCTGAGTACCTTCAGGCGTAAGGAGCTAGTTTGGTCCCAGGATGGAGACAGCCTGGAGGTGGGGTGCCCTCCCCATGGACAGGCCCAATGCCAGGCTTCTGGGGAAAGAAGCCATAGCTTTTTCCAAACTCTCAGAAGCGTCTGGGGCCCCAGTGAGATTAAGAACCCCTGCATAGAGAAGTTACCAGGTAGGTGAGGGGGAAAGCTCATTTGTAGGGAAAGGTCACAAACCGGCCGCCCACAGCTGGCTTTCCTGCAGGTGTGCTCTATTGGCATGCCCAATGCTACAGAAGTTCAATCTGAACACCTTTGGGCCCAAGTCACTCAACACCCCTGGTCCCCAAACAGCCACTCCTATCCCCCCTCCAAGCATTTGAACTTAGTGATACCCCGCTGTCAGTCGGTGTGCCGGTGGGGGAGCCGGTTCGGAAGAGTCTCTAGAGACCACATTGAAGGACTGGGGTGCAGGCGGGGTGCCCCCGCATCTTCCATAGGAGGCGGGGCCTGCGGGACAGCGGCTCAGGCAGCAGCGTGATGTGCAGCCGCCCCTGGAAGAACCCGGGGGCTTTCCCTGACTGTGCGCGTCAGTCTACAGCGATGGACTGGTTAAGACGCAGTTGCACCTGAAGGCTGCGTGAACTGCTGGGCAGCACCTGCAGAAGGAAGCACTCGTCCGGTCTCTGTTTCGTCCCTTCTCTGACGGGACCAGCCCTCTACTCAGAACAGGGCACTTTCAGAGGAGCACAGGGCCCCGGAGGAGAGAGCATGAGGGCAGGCGCCAACATGTGTTACCTGAGAAACAGTAAAGGAATTTAGATGTTTCACCTAGAGCCGTGGTCGGCCAACTGGGGCTCACGAGCCACATGCGGCTCTTTGGCCCTTGAGTGTGGCTCTTCCACAAAATACCACGGCCTGGGCGAGTCTATTTTGAAGAAGTGGTGTTGGAAGAAGTTTAAGTTTAAAAAATTTGGCTCTCAAGAGAAATTTCAATTGTTGTACTGTTGGTATTTGGCTCTGTTGACTAATGAGTTTGCCGACCACTCTAGGTCCTAGAGAAACAGAACTTCTGGGGGCCACGGGCCATACATTAGGACGGGAAGTAAGGGTTCCAACAGCTGCACAGCCATGCAGCCTGGTCCGGGTCACAGCACAAGCCGCTGAGCAGAAGTGAGCAGAGAGGAGCGCTTGAGGAGATGACTTTTAGACGCAGTCACCGTCCTCATTGGCTAGTACTCCCTTTACACAAGGAAATCAATGGAAACACTTCCTAAAGCCGGCAGGTATGCTCCTTGGCAGTAACATCAGCATCCATTACTGTCCTAACATTTGTTATTTCCAACAGCTCACACGGAATTAAGTCCCTCCAAGGCTTGCCTTCTGTAAAAGCGCTGAGCAGTTAATGGATGGAATGTGGTCTCATATTGGAATAGACATGTGGCCTAAGCATTTGCCAGGAGGCTGCAGTGTCTCGCAGCAAATGTGTCGCCCCTGCTCCAGACTGTGCTGTCCTCTGACGGCCTTCTCGGCCATGCAACTGAGCGGCATGGCCGTCCCTGAGTTATGAATTGTCAGAGTTGCTGCCAATTACTATACACCATGAGACCGGACGCCACACTAGATTTGTTTGAAGAAAAAAAAACAAAGAATAAGTGAATAACCATGATTATTTTCTGAGTTTAGACTTTGATTTTTACCCCCATGCTATCAGTTCCTATTTCTAAGCTGTGATAACTGGCACTTGTGAATTTTTGAAATTGAGTGACATGGCATAGATCTCCCAGCAGGTTCAGGATTGCAAGATCTCTCTTTGTTCAATTTACTAATTGATCAAGAGGGATGATGATCTTTTTTTTTTTTTTTCTTTTCCTAGTAAATGTTTCTGAGTGTCACAAAGAGCCAGCGAGGGGACTCTACATAGACAAAAAGGTTTCCATTTTATGTCCTGGGAAAGTTCCCATCGAGCTCAGTGATGTCACTGTGACGGTCAGCACTCCTCGCTGTGTGTGGGTATGATGAAGTAGAACACAGACTGAGGAGCAATGAAGGGCTTACAGCCAGTGCTCACCCTCTGGCTGGGATGCGCTTCTTACAAAGGGAGGAGCAAAGGGCGGCCCGAGGCAGATCAATGATGTAACGGGAATGATTGGTCCGTGCCCCGCCCCCGTGGCTGTGATGGGAACCCTCCCCACTTGAACAGGCCCCTGCTCTTGTAAGGACCAGCTCCAACCCTCCCCCTGGGCTGGACAGCAGGCCTCCGCCCTCCCCGGGCCGTGGTTTCCCCACCTGCTCCGAGGGAGTAAAATGCAGAAGTGAGCCACCCAGGGGTCTTCCCCTCCCAGCACGAGTGTGGGCAGCTCTCAGCGGGAAAAGCACCAGCGGCCCACACCCTGCAGCCCCCAGAAGAGCTGTGGCCTCAGGGCGCCTGCCTCGCTCGCTCGGCTGGGAGCGGCAACGCACTCCCGCCCGCAGGAGCCTCCAGGGGGACGGAGGGGCACAGGGAAACCGGGGCGCTATTTCAGACCGCCTCTTAGGGTGGGCTCTGCCGCCCCTGGGTCCGGATGTCTGCACCCCTTAGGTGGCTTCATTTTGGGAGTATGTGGGAAGGTGCACATACTCCCAAAATGAGTATGGGAGCAGCTCATTGGGAATTTTATAGGGAGCATCTCATTGGGAATTTTATAGGGAGCATCTCATTGGGAATTTTATAGGGAGCAGCTCATTGGGAATTTTATAGGGAGCAGCTCATTGGGAATTTTATAGGGAGCAGCTCATTGGGAATTTTATAGGGAGCATCTCATTGGGAATTTTATAGGGAGCAGCTCATTGGGAATTTTATAGGGAGCATCTCATTGGGAATTTTATAGGGAGCAGCTCATTAGGGATTTTATAGGGAGCAGCTCATTGGGAATTTGCTGAGGGCTCCATGAAGCAGAGAGCAGGGAGCATTTCTCCTTTGGAAGCCGGTCCCGTATGAGCATGAGGCCAGCTCAGTCTGGAGGAGAGGGCGCACCACCCCATTGACTCAAGCTTCTGGGGACCCTTCCCCGCTGTAGTCCTGGAACACTTCCTGCCCCTCCAGGACCTCCTCGCCCTCACCCTCCTTGTCCCCGAGGTCATCACGGGTCTGAGGCCCTGCCCTTGACCCTGGTACTCTGCTGGCCTGGCCAAGCCACCACTTGCCATTGTGGGAGTGCAAAGCCCAACACCCCCATCACCCTTTGGCCCTCGCTCAGACTCACAATGGGTGCCTGTGCCCCCCCTCCGTGCCATCTCCCTCCCTGGCATCGCCCCACTTACGTGGGCCCACACACAGCAGCAGGAACAGCACCAGCACAGTGGCAGCCAGGACGGCGGGCCGCACCGAGGAGGCCATGCTGCACCCGGGCAGGAGCGACGCGCTGGGCTGGCCGAGGGCGGACGGGCGGGCGGGAGAGCTGAGGCCGGGAGGGCGGGCGTGGCCTGCGTCCTTTTGGGGAGGGACCGACGGCAGTGGCACGGGGCCCGGGGGGCAGCGGGCCAAGCAGAGGCTCTGAGCCCGAGCCCGGCTCTCTGGTCTCTGGCTGGGATGGTCAGGATGCAGGCGCCGCCGAGGACCTGGCAGGGCGCAGCGGGGCAGGCAGGACCCCCGGGAAGGATGGGAGGTGGATTGCCAGTTCCCACCCAGGTCTCCCCTCTCCCCTCGTCCCTCTGGCCCCAGCCTGGCGGCTGGCTGCTGTGCTGTCCGTTCCCTGCGCACTGCTGGCTCGGAAAGAGCCTCTGGAATTTCCTTAATTCCCAGGCTGCACTTGAAGATGCCTTTGGCAGCGTGTGCTTGGGATGCTTTGAAAGACTCCACAGTCCGGGCCAGAGCCGCCATCCAGGAAAACATCGCCCCCATCCCCACCCCGGCGCTGGAACAGAAGGCCTTTCAGAACCCAGGGCTGGTGAGCTGTAGGTGTCCGCAGACCAGAGTGCCCACTGCGTGCCCTGTGGCCCACGCATAAGGGACACTGAAGGAGGCCCAGCCAGGCCTGCGCAGATGCCAGGTACGAGGAACCGCAGGGGTGAGGGGAAACAAGACCAACTTGCCCCCCGCTGACCTCGGGTGTCACCTCATTAGCCCTCTAGGCCTGTGGGGACCCTTCCCTCTAGGACAGCGGTCGGTCGCCAACCGGTGGCCCGTGAGGTCCGAAAGGCTGGCGACCGCTGCGCCAGGACCTGCTCTGAACACAGGGGATTCTCTCTTTCGTTTACCTCGTGCTGGCTTTTCGCACCTTCGGGCTACGGGCCGCTGTCCGCCAGGTCGCTGCCTCCTCGCAGGCAGTGGCGCTCTCCAGCAGCCGCCGGGAGCTGAGTGTTACTACTGAGCGGTGGCGGGTGCAGGACAGGTGTGCAGTGGTCTGACAGAACCACAAGAACTTGGGCTGCACTGGATTCCAGAGAGAAACAGAAAGATAAGGCTACACATCAACTGATTGTAGGGAAATCTTATAAGTCTTTGGAAAAACTTGAGTAGGGGTCAGATTAAGAAAGAGGGAGGGGAAAAAAAAAAAAAAAACACCCAACCAGAAAATGCAATGGACATACTTTTGCCCAAAGACAAGAAATCCATTATTAGGAAGAAAGTCAAAGCAAATAGGAAGTTGAAGTTCTGTTTGGATTGGTTTAGAACATATGTTGAAGACATGAATTATAATCTTTTATTTGGCTTATGGAGACCTTTGCGTCAAATCGCCACCACAATTTGCTTCTCATATAACATTTAAAAACTTGTCTCTTTGCTAGAATCTGATGGGAATTGAGTTTGTGGAGCCAGAGGACAGCAGCCCCCTCCCTGCCTGCTTTTTCTCCCGTCGCTGGGAGCAGCCCAGAGCCTGCCCTCTGCCCAGCTCCTGGATACACTTGAAAATGCAGCGGCAATTTCAGTTTTTGTTAATTCAGAGCCCAATGGGGGCTGGGGGTGGGGGAATGTCTGCCTTAAACAGCTCATGTAGGATTTAATGACAAAGTAAATATTGAATCCTAGTTTTGAATGGCCCATATAAAAATTTTTGATTACTGTTTCATTGGTGAATTGGTACACAAATCAAGGATCCTACAGAAAATTATTTTAAAATAATTGCCAGCATTTCCTGAGGACCAGCCCAGCTTCTCCTCATGGAGGGCTGGAGGTGAGCTCTTCCTCTGCCAGCTCCAAGCTGCTCCAGTGGATCCCGGCTGGGGGAGGGGGCATCTTTCACAGGAAGGCAGTGACAGACAGGCATGACCAGGACAGTACACTGAGGCTAATCTTCATTTTGAAGCCAATTTGGTAAGCACAAGGAGCTTCGATGTTTACGTACTTTCAAAACAAGAAAGGTTCCTGAGTAAGTGGCACTTCACACCCTAAAGCAGGACTGACCAATAAGAGACACAGCTTTGTCACACAGTTTTTATTGAAATACTAGAGGCCTGGTGCACAAATTCGTGCACGGGTGGGGTCCCTCTGGATGGCCTGTAGGGATAGGGCTGAAATGGCAGTCCAATACCACCGCCTGCAGCTCCTGCCTCATCCTGGCTCCACTGTGCCTGCCATCGGTTTATGCCCAATCAATCGCCAGCCAGGACCCCTGTATCTGGCACTCAAAGGGAGTGGCCTGCAAGATCGGGCTGAAACTGGCTCTCCAGCATCCACTGATTGTGATGAGGGGTCCTGCCTTGCTAGATGGCACACGCCAGACTGAGGGACCCCATTGGTGCATGATCCATCTGGGGAGGGATTGTGGGAGGGCTCCAGGGTGTGTCCAGCTCCTCTTTCTCAGTCCTGATATGCCAGACCACAGCAAGCTAACCTATCAGTTGGAGCATCTGCCCCCTAGTGGCCAGTGCAAATCATAGCAACTGGTTGACCAGTTGACTATCTGCCCCCTGGTGGTCAGTGCATGTCATAGCAAGCAGTTGAGCATTCTTAGTATATCATTAGCATATTGTTTTGAATGGTTGTTTGGTTGCTCTGCCTTTTGGTCTATTTGCATATTACCCTTTTATTATATAGGACTAGACTAGAAGCCCGGTGCACGAAATTTGTGCACAGGGGGAGGGGGTGGTGGTGTTCCTTAGCCCAGCCTGCACCCTCTCCAATCTGGAACCCCTCGAGGGATGTCTGACTGCCCATTGGACTGGGATCAGGCCTCAACGGGCAGTCGGACATCCCTCTCACAATCCAGGACTGCTGGCTCCCAACTGCTCACTTGCCTGCCTCCTGATTGCCCCTAACCACTTCTGCCTGCCAGCCTAATCACCCCCTAACCACTCCCATGCCAGCCTGATTGATGTCTAACTGCTCCTCTGCCAGCCTGTTTGCCCCAACTTTCCTCCTCTGCTGACCTGGTAACCCCTAACTGCCCTCCCTTGCAGGATTGATTGCCCCCAACTACCCTCCTGGTCTCTCCCAACTACCCTCCCCTGTTGGACATCTTGTGGTGGCTATCTTGTGTTCACATGAGGGTAGAATCTTTGACCACATGGGGGCAGCTATCTTGATCTTGTGTATTGGAGTGATGGTCAATCTGCATATTACTCTTTTATTAGATAGGATAGAGGCCTGGTGCATGGGTGGGGACTAGCTGGTTTGCCCTGAAGGGTGTCCAGGATCAGGGTAGGGGTTCCCTTGGGGCATGGGGCGGCCTGGGCGAGGGGTTTGTGGTGGTTTGCAGGCCGGCCACGTCCCCTAGCAACCCAAGCGGAGGCCCTGGTATCTGGAATTTATTTACCTTCCACAATTGAAACTTTGTAGCCTGGAGCAGAGCCAAACCTTTTGCTTGCTCTGTGGCTGCCGCCATTTCTGTTTGGATTTGTTTACCTTCTATCATTGAAAATTTGTAGCCTTGAGCGGAGGCTTAGGCTGGCAAGGGCAGGTGGAAAGCGTGGCTTCTTCCGTTGCCAGAGAAATCCAAGCCTCCCTCCTGCTCTCTGTGGCTGCAGCCATCTTGGTTGGGGCTAATTTGCATACTCACTCTGATTAGCTGGTGGGCATGGCTGGTGGGTGTAGCAGAGGTATGGTCAATTTGCATATTACTCTTTTATTAGATAGGATAATACAGAGAAATGTGGAGATCAAACACACAGCAAAATGATCAAGAAACAGCATTATCAACATTCCAAAGGTCCCTGTCCCCTCCCAGACTCTCCCACCCCATATGCACTCTTTTAAAAACGTCTTATTGGTATTTTATTTTCATTTACTTAAAAAACACCTTCATGAAATAAAGATTATGGTGACCAATAGGAAGACACTGATTAATTAAAAAAAGAAGGGTTAAAAGGGTAAGATTGCCTGGCTGGCCTGGTCAGTGGTTGAGTGTCAACCTATGAACCAGGAGGTCACAGTTCAATTCCCTGTCAGGGCACAGGCCTGGCTTGTGGGCTTGATCCCCAGTGTGAGGTGTGCAAGAGGCAGCCATTTGATAAATCTTATCATTGATGTTTCTATCTCTCTCTCCCTTCCTCTCTGAAATCAATAAAAATATATATTTTTAAAAAGCGTAAGATTTGCTGAAATCGGTTTGGCTTAGTGGATAGAGTGTCGGTCTGCGGACTGAAAGGTCCCAGGTTCAATTCCGGTCAAGGGCATGTACATTGGTTGCGGGCACATCTCTGTTAGGGGATGTGCAGGAGGCAACTGGTCAATGTTTCTCTCTCATCGATGTTTTCTAGCTCTCTATCCCTTTCCCTTCCTCTCTGTAAAAAATCAATAAAATATATATTTTTTAAAAGCATAAGATTTATGACTGGGTCAACTTACCAATTCAGTTTGTTCTATCCATATCTATTTCTCAAAGTGCTCACTGGACATCCTTTGCCTGGACAATATTCCAGAGTGGAATGTTTTTGGCTCCAGTATTCTTGTCTGCCTTACACACTGTGGGTAACATTTGTTACCACCAATAACATGGCACAGAGCACATGCATCTACCTGTCTTTTGTCTTCCAGCTATTTCCATTCATGATGGGTCTCTGGTTTGACTTGGATCCTGCTCAGAGGGACTTTCCTGCCTCTCTCCCATGCAAACATAGAGGAGCCCCAAGAGGAAGGTGACTCCGGCCAGGCCCCAGCACCACTGCTGCCCCCTCTTCAGTATGAGGGTGTGATGTGAGTCCCCAGGTTTTAATACACAGGGAGTGTGATGTGGCAAGAGCCACTTGCTGGGCCTTCACAGTCTGCTGAAGTTTCTTCCATTGGTCTATCTGTTCACCAGCATTTACTTATAAAACCCTACCTACGCATGGGCACTGTGACAAGCCCTTTGTTCCCCGCTACATTTGTGAAGTGCATGGCTCTCCTTTCTCCCCCTGCTAAAGTTGGCCCCCTTCTTTATGCCAGTGCTTCTCAAACTTCATCTAACAACCCCAAGG